ACCTGTAGTTTGGTCAGTATTTGAATGTCATGTGGTATACACGCGGAGTTAAGTGGTGGGCGGAAGGATAGGAAAACGTACCATTGGAGCCAAGATAATCACACCTACGGTCAAAGCCAACACTGTCATGATGAGCTGCAACTTGGAGAATCCCTTGCCGAGGACATCGAATGCCTGGCTGGGAGTGGCCCGCGTGCCGAAGACGTCCCCTCCAAACGCGAAGATCAAGCTTGTACTCTCGAGCAAAGTCGGGGTGGAGAGGACGGCCGTGATGCCTGCGACCTCGCGGTTGTGTGTGAAGTACCACTTGCCGTCGAACTCGAGGACGGGGCTGTACTTGAACAGACCCTCTTCGGCCTCGGTGGAGGTTGGGTCCCGTTCGACAGGCCGCCGGGGGTCTAGCACCGGACGGGGGATGCCAACGATGGACTTCGAAGCTGGGAGCGTGCAGAGAAGCTGGCGGGTTGTGATACCTTGACGGGTCTGCGTGACGGCCATGTGCGAGATGGGTTCGGGGATGACGAAGGCTTGAGAAATCACATGAGGAAGTGGTAGGATATCACTACCGTGGATGCTGGAGTAGTTTGACGCAGAGCCCAACGGGCCACGGTCGTTGGGGAGGGGCGACTCGTAGAGCTCCGAAACCACCAGCTGATAACCCTTGGCGTCCGACGGGGTTGCTGGATCGCCATAGAAGGAGTAAACGAACCAATTCTCGGAGATGGCGGAAGCAATAGGCTGACTGGTGTCAACACCTTTCTGAGTGCTGCTGTAAAGGATTTTTCCGGAAATAGCGTCCAGCAGGTAGAACGTGGCCGTGTCTTCACCCACAGCCGTGATCAGAGCCAGGTTCGGGTTCAAGTACTTGTAAAGAACCGACCTGTCGCCCAGAACTTTGCCGATAGACGCAACGGGGTCGTGAGCGGGGCGTGCAATAGCACGCATGATCTTCTGGCCCTGAGCAGGCAGGAATTCCCAGACAGGCGATTTGTTGTCAGCGGCACTCCATCCCAAGACACGGCCATCGGCACTGAGAGTCACGAAAAAGCCAGGTTTATCCAAAGGCTCCACTGGCACACCATCCTCCTTGACACCAATGGTGATAGGGGGTGAAGGGCCATTGATGACAGCGATAGAAGCGATCTTGCCTGAAGCGGGCGTACGCTTGATAACAGCGCCAGATGTCGTGTTCAGGCTCACTGAGCTACCGTCGTCGGCGTACACAGTGGCGTAGCCAGGTTGAGTGAGGATGGCCTTCACGTTCCAGCTGTCTGATTCAGCAGCCTTGACGCTCCAAGAGACAGCGCCGTGATTTCCGGTGTCGATGCCATACACTCGTCCATGCTCAGTAGCCACAACGACAGTTTTGCTGAGTCCAAAGCCGTCAAGGCTCGACACTTCGTCGCTGAGAATACTAGTCAAAATACGCTTAGGTAATTCCTTCAGCCACTCTGGAAGGTGTTGCAGGTCTTTGGCGTGGCGCTTAACACGATGGACATAGGCCTTGTATAAGCTCTCATGCCCCTCAACTTCCAATTCATGAGCGAGATCTTCCTGGTATTCTTCCTCAGCCCAGGAAGCGGCAACCGCTCCATTCAATGCCTCGTATCTCGTCCACTCAGTCTGACCGTTCCGAATGAGTTGCCAGTCACCCGATGATAAGACTGTTGCGGACCGAACAGCGACGGCGTCCCCCTTGGCGACTACTTCCGATACAGCATGTTGAGCGTGCTCAGTCGTAGGCGCCTGCAGCGGCCATCTGCCCAGGACTCCATGAGAGGCAGATGAGACAACCACAGCCTCCGACTGAGTGATGCGGGTAAAGTAGACATTGGCGTCAATGTTACTCGTCGCGAAGGCTGATTTCTCTTGCACACGAGGCAGACTATATGCTTTGGAAACGGTCGCCGAGGTCAGATCAATGTGATACACTTCCGCCCAGGAGCTGGAGTCCGTTTCATAGTGGACAAGGAAATGCGTCAATGAGTTAAGCTTCTTCGGGGTATGGACTTCAATCGACCTAATTTCCTCGCCGCTCGTGTTATCAATATTTAGTGTATTCACTTGCTTCAGACCAATCTGGTTGATTTTCAAAGCTTTCTGTGTCTTGTCCGTCCAAATGATGACTGGAGAAGCGGTGTTGGCGCCAACGAAGAGAATCGACTCCGGTCCAGACACGTCACTCTCCGTGTTCAAAATGTGCTGCTGAGTCTGGCGGCCGGTGAGGGGATCCAATGAAGTGACTTTGATCTTGTAGCCCTTGAGCAGGCCCGATTGTAGAGAGATGTAGAAAACCTTGGTTGCGGAGGATGATATTTGGAGGGGAATGTCACCACTGAATCAACAAGGCAAAGAAAGGCGTTAGCAACGACGACAACATATTTCGCAGTGTGGTTCATCTTACCTATCATCCTTGAACTCCCACTTCACATCACCAGATTCAGCATCCAGTCTCCGGAGGACACCTGTCTTGTCACCGTACAGTGCGATCGCATCTCGGGCAGATGAAGTCGCGCCGGCATCCTCGAGCTCCAACAGCTCGAGGTCGACCACAGGCTCACCAGCGAACCAATTCTCCCAAATCAGTTTTCCATCCAGAGCACTCCATGAAGAGATATAATCGCCCACTGCGCTGACCATCGCATTCGACCCGTCCGAAGCACGCAGGAACGACTGTACCTGGCCATCGTCCTTCGAGAGCAATGATCGCGAAACGTTCTGTCTCCAAACCAGTGAGCCATCTCTTGGGTTCACTGCACCGAGAAGCAGCTTCTGCGAGAGAGTATAGAGCAAGGAAGCATTAGAGGAGGAGGACGGCTTGAGGAAGAAAGTCGAGTGTGCGGAGGGAGTGCCTAGGAGGGCATGGTGGAAATCGATATGATTGACCTCATCAGGATAAATGGCCACCGCCGAGGGAACGCATGAGGTGAGCAGCAGGAGTGCCACCCGTAGCCACATTTTTATAACCTCAGCTCCAAAGCGGTCATTGGAGGTTTAAGGTGGGCTGTTGGACAGTAAGGAGTTGGTGGTCGACAGGTATCTGATGGCGGGAGATGATGATGCCACTGTTGATTGGTGGTGCGGGCGGTGATGAACGCTGAGCTAAGGGAGCTTGAGCTACGGTGCTACAGACTATTTATCCCACAACAATGGCAATGAAGAATGAGAAATTGACAAATTATATATACAGATAAACTGATAAATTACATGAAAGCTTGGAACTAACCCCTTAGGCTTGGCCAAAGCACGCCTTGTTTGCTGCTTCAACAACGTTCTTCTCTCCCTCAGTCATATCACCAGTTACTTCCCAAGGCTTTCTGCCCATACCCATGGCTCGCAGACCATCAGGATTGACAGAAGACCAGTCCAATGCACCCTTAAAACCTGCCTCACCCGGACCTCCAGCGCCGGGGAAATCCCAAGGTGGTGAATAGGCGAGCGCCGCGTTCCGCTGCTTGAGGAGATAATCCACATTCATTTCGCACATTGGAGTGGCAGGAATATAGAGGACACTGGAGTCACCATTGCCTTTATGTTCCTTGTCCACGGAATGCAACGAGTCGCAGTGCCAGGCGACATAATCGCCTGGTTCGACCTCTGGGACCGAAACCATGGTGGTGTCCAGCTCAAGGTGAGGATGGGTAACTGGATTGTACTCTTGGCAAGCACCTGGCACGGAGCCCGGAAACGTGGCGTCCAGGTCGGGCTGCAATGTCTTCGCATCGAAAAATGGACGCAGAATGGTATAGGCGGTGCTATGAACGATCATAGGGCAAACATGCAGCGAGCCTTCTCCAGGGCCGGTCTTCGACATTGAAAGCCAGCCCTGGAAGAATCTCAGCATAGAGCATGCTCCCGCTCCATTGTACAGATCCATCTTAGCGGAAACGCGGTGCTTCGCGTCCCAAGGGTCGTATTCTTCCCATTTGCCTTCCAAGATCTTGGTGTAGACCCGGGAATACTCTGGATCCTCCCAACGCTCGAGTGAACCTCCATCCACGTGGGGACCAAGCGAGAATTTGCCATCTCCCGGCTGTCTGATACGGAGGCGGTCCGCATATGCCAGAGGATATCTGGTGGATATCCGGGTCGCCGGGTCAGATGAATGCCAGAGACGCTGCAAGAAACGCTGAGTCTCGAGCATGTTGGGATGCGCTCGAGCCTCAGCCTGCGAAGGGGTCCAGTACAGCTCAAACACTGCCGGCGAGTCAGGCGGAAAGGCCTTGACTCGCTCCTTGTTGGCAGCAACATACTCTTCGATCCTATCTTTCCAACCTCGAGCTTCTTTTCGAGGGATTGCATTTCTGATCACGACAGATCCGCGATGCAATATCTCAGCAAGGACTCTATCTGAGACTCTGCCGGACACAATATCCGCATATTGTACCGATGGTATAATCTGCCAACAATCAGCATCTCGTGAAAACAATGGCAATGAGTCGGGAATGACATACATCGCTGCCCTTTGCCTTGATCTCATGCACCTCCTTCTCTAGGCTTTCAAGCAGTCTCTTCCAGCTTTGCACTAAAGCTTTCTCATTTTTCTCGAACAGCCTTTGTTTCAGCTCCTTGAACCGTGGAGGCAGCGGTTCAGGTTTGTAGTCAGGGCGCAAGCTAGGAAACACACTCGAAATGTCCCCGGCGGTCTTGGTCATATGTGATGTTGATGTTGACGTAGAGGCAGCACGAACGGCTGCTCTAGAGAGAAGTTTCGACGCCGACATACTGATGAAATGCTTGCTCGTACCTTGGTAGACTGTTGATCAGTATCCCATGCTTCAACTCGAGGACTTTCCCTGATTTATATACACATTGTTGCCATCGGTATGACAGTATAGATCAGTGGGGAACTGGACGGGATACCATAAACGGCAGGCGGCACGCTTTCCAAATGAGGCAAGTATCCGCTCTGATGCGGAGTGTGGGCAAAACGACATGATTAGCAGAACATGCTCTGCGGCTTTTCATTCAAGGCAAATGGATACGATCCACATCTAAATTTACCATGGAAGAAACTCATAGCCGTGCCACAAACTTGGATCTAAAGTAATGTTCTTTTACCTTCAAGTCGGCATTCTTCCGGGTTGGAGCAGTCACCCTCGGGCCAATTCAACCCCGCGCATCCCCTCAATGCGTAGATCCAAAGGTGATACGACAGCAAGAAATCAGCAGGATTCTCCGACGGGGGGCTTGTACTGCTATGGCATTTAAGTGTAGACCTGCCAACCTTGAGACGCAGCCCTCTCCTCAACCAAACTCCACCTTGAGCCTTCAACAACATGGCTTTTTCCGTCAAAGGAAAGTCTGCCATTGTAACAGGTGCAGGTTCAGGTACGCAAGACAATTCAGACCTCTCGGACCCTCACTACATGTATGTCTTGCTAAACCCTTCATAGGCATCAACCTATGTTTCGCCAAACTCCTGCTTGAGAATGGGTGCAACGTCCTAATCGCAGACCTTGCCCTTCGACCTGAGGCGCAGGAGGTGGTGAACAATTATACCAGTCAGTCAAACACGCCCAGTCGAGCCGTCTTCCAGAAAACAGATGTCGTCGACTGGGTGCAGCTAGACAGAATGTTTGAGGTTGCGGTGAGAGAGTTTGGTGATGTCGACATTGTATGTCCAGGTGCTGGGATCTACGAACCGGTATGTCGTGCACGCCTGGTCTTACCTGATGAGGACAAGTTATCAGGTCCATGATTCATCTTTTTTTGAGCTGTTTGCTGATGGCTCGCAGCACTGGTCCAATTTCTGGAGACCTCCCGGGTCTCCAGAAAGCCGTGATCGACGAGATGGAGGTCGATACGCTTTGCTGGATATCAACCTGACACATCCGATCCGCACGACTCAGTTGGCTATATCTCACTTTCTACGCAATCGAAGTAGCAAAAGGCCGAAGCATATCATCCATATTTCCAGTATCGCGGGGCAGAGCCCAGCACTGGCCGCGCCAATATATGTAGCAACGAAACACGCCATCAATGGCCTGGTTAGATCGTTGGCCAAGCTTGACAGCAGTTTTGGCATCCGTGTGACTGCTGTTGCACCAGGGGTCATCAAAACACCTCTGTGGACGGATCATCCAGAAAAACTGAAGATGGTCGACGACAAAGCCGATGAATGGGTAACCCAGAAGAGGTGGCTGAAGTGATGCTAGCTCTCATTCAGCAGGACAGTGTCAGCGAGATTATTGGAGACAAATCAGGCAGAGGCACCCAATTCCCGTGCAAGGGGGGACGGTCTTGGAAGTCTCCAAGAGCGTACGCGCTGTGAGTGCATTCAATGACCCTGGACCAACAGGACGACGGGGAAACACTGTGTCGGACATGAACAAGGTAGAGGATGAGGTATATGATTTGCTTTCGACGGAAGGATGGGGAGCGCCAAAGACAAATCTCTAGTTTTACTTCATGTAGCTTCAGTGGGGAGTATGATGAAGAACGCTTTGATAGTGGACAATAATAACATGGAGATACGTACTATTCGTACTGTTGTAGATCCATAGATAACCGTGAGATAAGCAGATGATGTGTCAGCCACGCTAAACCCAGATGGGCCGGAATTGTCCTCCGCTTTTTGTCGCAAGTCTGGCTGGGCCTGACACCATCTCATCTCCAGTCATCATCCCCGGCCTCCCTGATGTAGCCCCTTCAAAGTTGAACTTCTTGCTTTCAGACCTTTCACTCGTTTACATTTTTCCTTGGGACTTCTATTTCCTCTCTGCTGGCCTGAGTTGGTGTTATGTTGGACGACCTCATCGCATCTCCAGTTGGTGATAAACGACTCTTAGAACAGCCCTCGTGCCCACTACCCTTATCAGTTAAAGGTCATCTCCACACCCTCACCAAAGATGATGGGAGAGGATGCTGTAGTCGGGGTCGGCCCCGGCGATGGACTCCGCAATTCATCACGACGGTATTGTTGATCTGATACCACTCTATATGTTTTGGTCGGACTTCTTGCTAATCGGTGGCAATCATGCTTAGACGTGGAGCACGGGGAAAACGATCATCGGGATTTCAAGGTGACGCCAGTTGGATCAGCTGCGTGATCAACCTTGTCAATACGAGTAAGTTATACTGATTGGGACATCGGCTTCAAATATTTCCGGAGCTGATAGAATCGTGTCTCAAACAGTCATCGGTGCTGGCGTTCTGGCGATGCCGCTCGCCATCTCTCGCATGGGAATCGTCCTCGGTATCTGCGTCATTCTCTGGTCCGGAATGACCGCTGGACTCGGCCTCTACCTTCAGGCTCGATGCGCACAGTACCTCGACCGAGGCAGTTCATCTTTCTTCGCCCTATCGCAGCTCACATATCCCAATGCCGCCGTTGTTTTCGACGCTGCTATCGCGATAAAATGTTTTGGAGTGGGGGTCAGTTACCTCATCATCATTGGTGACTTGATGCCAGGTGTGGTACAGGGCTTCGTTGGTAACACTCCAGCATATGACTTCTTGGTGGACCGGCATTTCTGGGTTACGGCTTTCATGTTCGTTGTCCAGCAACTCTCAAAGTCGAGTGGGACCTGTGCTGACGACTCATCCCAGGTTAATTGTCATTCCTCTCTCTTATCTCCGACGTCTGGACTCACTGAAGTATACGAGTATCGCCGCTCTGGTGTCAATGGGCTACCTGGTCATACTGGTGGTCTATCATTTTGTAAAGGGAGACACAATGGACGAGCGCGGACCAGTTCGTCTGATCCATTGGGCTGGTCCCATCCCGGCGCTCAGTAGTCTTCCAGTAATCGTCTTTGCGTTCACGTGCCATCAGAATGTAGGCCCGCCTCCACGATCTTGACTACTGACATTGCATGCTGACACGAAGTAGATGTTCTCTATATTGAATGAAATCAGCAACAACAGTCACTTTCGGGTGACAGGCGTTGTGCTAGCCAGTATCGGAAGCTCTGCAGCGACCTACATTCTCGTGGCTATCACAGGCTATCTCTCTTTCGGAGACAACGTCGGGGGTAACATTGTGAGCATGTACCCACCAGGTGTCTGGGCTACCATTGGACGTGCCGCTATCGTCATGCTCGTTATGTTTTCATACCCGCTTCAATGCCATCCGTGTCGAGCCTCTATTGATGCAGTGCTTCGCTGGAGACCTAAGCCTGCTGCTGGAAACGATAACTCGCCTCACCGTCACCCTCTGCTCGGGCCAAGGGGCCACCGGGCTCCCGAGCCCATGAGCGATCTGCGGTTCTCACTCATTACGACGACAATTCTTATCCTAAGCTATATCGTGGCGATGACCGTTTCCTCGCTCGAAGCGGTATTGGCCTACGTTGGTAGCACCGGAAGTACCAGCATCAGCTTCATCCTTCCGGGCCTTTTCTACTACAAAATTTCTTCCCCTGACTCACCAACCCATCAGCGACTCATGAAAGAAGATGACGAAGCAGTTGATGACATTCTCTCCGACGACGACAATTCCGATGAGAATGATATCGAGGGCGGCCAGAACCTTCCACTTACCGACAGCGCAATTCTCCGACTTACCAACCGACACTGGCGCCGAGGCCTGCTGCGGAAGTTGAGTTTAGCGCTCGTCGTATACGGCATCCTTGTCATGATCGTGTGTTTGATTGTGAATACATTCTTCATAGCTTCGCACTGAAATTGTCATGTCACTACGATGATTATGGTCGCCTGCTATCGTCTTCCTTTTATAATAAGCTTGATTCGGATTATTCCATTACTTTCCCTTCCGCGTTCACTTCATCACTCTTTCGGAGCAGGCGTGTCTGGACAACTTCTCCTCATTTCATAGTGCGACTTGGCCCGAAACACCTTCCTTTCTATGTTACCTACTTATTTACTGCTTGGAACTTTGTTGCGGCGATACCATCCATAGGCGTTGGAATTTTCAGTTGGATCGGCCTAGCTGATACGTTTACATTTTCCTTTGAAGTCCTTATCTTACTACCTTGTTTTAACTTCTACTCGGATAGATATCGGGTTTATTCCATTAGTGGTGAAATCACCATACGAAGAATGCTTCTTGATCAGGCGAATGGTGTTTGCTTTGATAGTATGATGGCAATTTATCCTGCTACCAGTTTTCTGGACTACTTGCTGAGGGTCATTCATGTAAGCTTGCATACCGTGTATCTGTCACAAATTATTGCTTGATATTCTGAATATAAGCTGCTATTCTTGACGGTACTGGTCACATAAGTAAGAATTGCCTGATTCTTATTATGATGGAGATTCGATCATCATTGGAGCCCCCGACTGTAGCAAAGGAGAACGAAAACAGAGTGCAAGGGGGACACTCATTAATAGAATACGTGAGAAATTCATGGTCAAGGGGAGCGAATGTGAAAATAGTTGGGGTTTGGTAGTTAGCCTGGAACGTTGCAGATTAAATCGCCAATAGTGCTGTCATCTTCAATTCGTTATTGCTAGATCATTGGCGAGATTGAGTATAGAGCGTGCTTTGACCATCTTTAAATTCGACAGGTGGCCACCGCGTACGATGTATCCATATCGAAATTACTTACTGATTATTCTGGTTGTTCAGAATCCGCAGAATAGCCAGGAACAGGTTGAGGATGTCCAGGTAAAGCGAGATCGCAGCGGCAATCTCCTCCTCAACGTGGTAGTGGCGCATAACCAGCTGAGTATCAACGAGAATATAAGCCGAGAAGATCAACGCCGCCAGGCCACCGTAGATCAGCTCCGCGGTGCTATTGTACGGGAAGAACGCCGACATGAACCCGAAGAGGATCAGGAACCACAGGCCCCGAACAGGTAGGGCATCCAGTTGGTGAAGTCGTATTTGGTCTGGCAGGCGAACAGGGTGAGCGCGACGAAGATGCCCAGGGTGAGGATGAGCGCTTGGACGACGATGCGCGCGTCATAGAAGGAGGTCACCACGCTGATGGAGTAGGCTTCTAGCAGAGTGAAGCCGGAGAGGAAGAGGAGGTTGGCGGGGTAGCTTTTGCGCTTCCAGTAGGTGACGAGCATGAAGCCGAGCGCGCCGAAGACGGAGACCATCATGAGCCAGAAGTTGGACTGGATCCAGAGGCGGTAGCTCTCGCTGAAGAAAGAGATGGAGCTCATAATTGTTGTGAGAAGGAGCTGGATGGTCCTGATCGCCGAGATTATTGTTAGAATGCCAGGCGCGGTATGTATCGTTTGCGAGAAGAACTGCTTACAGGATCGCGTAGACCTTGCGGATGAACTGCATACGGATGGGCAGGGTGCCCTCCGCAACGGTGCCGCCAAACTATGGATTACAATCAGCATTGTCATATATCGATGAATCCGGTTTGCGCATACCTTGAAGTCGTCGGGGACATTGTCGTCCTCTCTGCGAGGCGCATCACTGCTCGCGGTTGCCTGATAAGATGGCGGGGCCTGAGGGTAGGGTTGGTCCTCGAAGGAGTCCCTTTGAGGAGCTGGTTCGTATCTGGCGTTGGCAGCCATTTTGCTGCAAGTGCAAGGCTGAAAAAGTCTCTCTTGAAGTACAAAGATGGTTGAAAACGATGAGACCTCTGGTGGACGAGGATGGGAAGGCGACAGATAGGCTCGATATGATGAGGCCGGGGGAGCTTCCAGACCATGTGACGTCTTCCATCACGTGGTGCCGCCGCAGCATAGAACGAAGTCGACAAGTCGTCGAACGTGAAAGAAACAAAGAATTACAAAAGAAGGCCATAGAACCCGTATTATCAGTGATTGTATTATCTATCTTCTATATTCGTAAATCATGACATAAACAAATCAGGGAGTCATTGGTCAAAATGCTACCGTTAAGACGCCAAATATGTGCAAGAAATTGGTTCATATTCCCCAGGAACTCTCCCAATAGTCCATTACTTGGGTGTTCTTGAAGCGTTTGCATCTGACAAGCGTTCTGACACAGCTTCATCTGTGTCGGTATCTTGTCTAGGGTCAACCGGATCATCTTCCTCGTCGTCGCTTGTGTCGTCGGTTGTTGTCGGGCCATGGGTTGCAGAAGCCCCAGTCAGTTGATCTGGACGCTTCCTCCGCTCGAAGTCTTGAGCGTGAGCAGCCGCCATAAGCGAACCCACGTGAGAAAGGCCGCGCGGACGAGTAGTCAGCCCTGGTGTAATTGGCGTTCCCTGTTCAATGTCTGCAGGAGCGGACAGAGGTGTGGTGGCGTGTTGATCCTGAAGCTGCACATCCTCTCCTGGACGGTCCACTTCGACCTCGGGAGAAGCCACTTCATAAGGCAAAGGAACATCCCTTGATGCTCGGAAAAGAAGCACGTTGGTACAGTGTTCATTTTCCACACGGAATATCGTCCAGACGCCCCTTCGAAAGATCTCAGACAGGGCGACCATAAAACTCAGTAAAGCTGAGTGTTGCATATCCCTGGCAAAAATAGCATAGTAAATCCAGTTGAAACGTATGATGACATCGGCGACCATCGCGGCGTAGTAGACCCAAACCTTTCGGAATGCCAAAACTTCGCGTAATAGTGGATGTTTGGCATAAGGATTCCCCAAACTCCAGTCCATGATCAAGTCCCAAACCGAGGTATAGACGGCGTTGAGCAAAGCAAAAGTGACAAAGGGAGCCTGGAACCGCGTCATCCTCTCGATCCGGTACATGCTCAACGTGGCGTAATACAAGACTCCGAACATGTATTTGCCAAAATTCACGAGGTGTGGAAATACGTTCTTCGTATCCCCATAACGACGGAGGCATTGCAATGCTCTCCAAATCGATGGTAAGCACTGGAAGAATCCTAGGAGCCGGGAGTGGGATGAATTGCATTGTGGAGCATTGTTCCAGTGATGTGCGTAAAGGCAGAAGAATACCTCGATGTTCTTTCAAACATTAGCAGACTATCTTTTAAGATGCATTGAATAGAACTCACCCCCATAGCGTATGTTTGCGAGCAATACATATCGCCAAGGAAGAAATCGCGAAACTCAACAGGATATAAACCAGCAAGCAGAAGACGCCACTATTCTTGTCAGCTGAATCTCGTTGAATAATGCCAAGGTCACTTACGTTTGAATATGCCCACCATTTTCGACTTCTGTGGTATAACACACGCGCAGGCAGGAACAAGATGATCATTGTGAGGCCGACCAGCACAACAGGCCAATAGACATACATAGAATTTATGGTGAGGAAATTAAGCCACATAAACAAGCCTAGCATGAACATGAAGAAGCAAGGTAGCTGTCAAGAGTTAGATAGAATCTAAGACACATGAGGCAAGGGATCATACCTCGGACAATTGACGCCAATCAAGAGCATGCCGGGTGTCATATTCAAAGACAAAAACGTAATTTATCTTGGTCTTAGTCCAGATCATGCAGTCGAAGCAGAAGAGGAGGAAATGAAAAACAATAAGAAAGTAGCCGCCATATATCTGCTAGAGTCAGTTACGGAATCTTATCTGACAGCATTGCTATCTTGTCGCGAGGCGACACTGACCTGAAGTAAATAGCTGGTTTGCACTTGTACACTAGGGTCCGAGTGCTCAAGGTGCCGACTGGCGTAGATCAACGACTGGATGGTGAACAAGACACCGGCCATTGAAAGAAGTCCGGCACGGAACGTGTTTGGAGAATAATCGCCCGACTTGTTGATCGTATGGCGAAGTTTCGAGACAGTGATTTTGCGATTCCCATGCTCGAGATAGCGAGCATATAGGTCTTCGGTAGCAGCCATCAGGTTCTCTACGACTTCACTCTGCACGAACCACGCTTTGTTGACTCTCTCTGACATGTACCTCATCGTGGGGCGTGCATTGACCAGCTTGTCATATTTCTTGTTGATCTTCCGAAAGGCAGTGCGATTAAGGTAGGCATACGCCTTCAACAGCTCAAGTCCGCGGTAAAACTCTTGAAGTGCATACTTCAGCTTCCGTTTCGCAAACCGATAAGTAACTTCATCGTTCTGTGAGTCCTCTGGTCGGCGCACGAAGTCTCTACGACCCGAAACCGACTCGGGATTCTGCGCTTGAAGTGTGTTCATCTGCGCCAGCGCTTCGGAATTCTTCCCAATGCGACCACGCCCCAGCAATGTTTCCTTCAGATGAAAGGCACTGAGGGCATTCAATGTGCTGAATCCGTTCGACTGATGCGCCTCATCTTTCTTGGCTTTTGACTTGGCGCCCAAAATCTCTTGTATCCGCCTATCTCGCATGATATGCAGCTGTTGTCGGAGGACTTGTAAGCGTTGGGTGGCTTCATCCTCCTTCATCTGGTAGAAAGATTCGATCTTGGCCAGTTCGCTATCCAGAAACGCAAAGAATTCATCCTCCCGTCGTTCGACCTCTGATACGGGAGCGTCAGTTTGTGCGTGTTTCTCGGGCGGTTCCCAGTCTGGGTGCGAGAAGACGCGCTTGAGGATTTGAGAAGTCCTCGTCGTGGAAGGCCCGGCCAAATTGTTTCTCAAGCTTCCCTTGCTCCCCGCGTGCTTTGCGGCAGGACTTCTACTGGCGGCATCATGAGACAGACTTCGGTTGGTCTCACGCCGAGACAGCACCGGTGACGGGGTCTTTGGTACACCTCGCCGTATTGTGTCTCTTGGGGGCGAATAGGAGACATCATCCTTCGGATCGAGAGCTGGGTCAGGGAGCTCTAGAGAGACTAAATCCGAAGCTGCTGCGCCATGCTGTGGGGGGACGCTATGATGCTGCCATAACTTCCCATGACCGCGGAAAAGCGCGATCCCGGGACTCGCAAGGGCTGACGTTCATCGCGTTGGCCAGGAGTCGATCTGGACGTCGTCGTCGCATGGGCATCGCCCCGGACCGGGATTGGCGGGCTGCGGAACGAGTTGGGAACTTCGAGTCTCTTGTTGTCCGAAGTTTGACCAGGCGAGGAGCGAAACGTGCCAGAGGGTGTAATGATTTGATCACCAGGTCCAGTAGCTGTACGTCTGAGAGACGGATGCCGAGGACTTCGATTGGTCTTTTGAATTGCCCGAGCGATAGCTTTGACTTTCTTCTTGCCGGTCTACTCGCAGAAAAATCAATGTATCAGCACGATACCATGTGATTGAGAGATAACATCCGTGACACAGATAGCCTACCTTGTAATCCAGGTATTTAGCACGCCATTCAGGAACCAGCTCCTGTTCTAACTCTCTGTTGATCGATTGTATGTTAGCTCTCCGCCTGCTGTGCGGGGTGAATGGAGATCGGGGATCACGAACTTGGCGAACTTCATCCTGGGGAGCAGACGGGATTGTGCATGATAATAAAAGACGGAATGAAGACAGGGGCCTGGATGATCAAACTTGATTGGATCCCATTGGGAGCTTAGGGAAGATCTGCTGAAGGATGAAGAGGGCGTTCTTGTCTTCGCCTAAAAATCGCTGCTAGTAGGCTGCTAGTGATATGAGATATTACTTGGAGGCCGCGCGCGCTTTGGCTTCGTTCAATTACGATAGCCGGGGATAGTCTGTCTAGTCGGGGAGAAAAAAACAGCCATCACACCAGGAAAGGGAGTGACATATGAAATGTCCTAGAGAATTGGAACAGAATCACGAGTGCGAGCAGTGCGCAAAAACCCCAAGAGACAAAGAATGAAGATCAGAGGAGCTAGAGAAAAAATTAGTTTGGTAAAACCGCAAGAGAACTTCAATTAGGTTGAAAAAAGTTCGTCATCAGGGATTCCGGCCTGTTTGAAGCTGCCAAGAAGTGAGTAGATCCTAAGGTGGATAAGGTAGGCGAGGAGACTGATTCTCCAAGGAAACAGGAAGAAAGGCATTCAATTGAGTGAAAGATGGTCCTCTAGCAGTCTAGCTACCTTTAGTGCTCGTATCTGGCGGCACTTAAGCAGACCATAGAGAAAATGCATGCTGGTTGGTCAATCACCTTAGACAGGCGCACGTGCAGCATGCGACGAGTTCATTTGTGCATCCACTACGGCTTGCATTTGCATCAGTTTCAGATGATCCGGTTGGCTGGTAGATATTTTCATATTTACTCCTATTCGGGAAAAAAAAAGTCTATCTCTCGATCATCACTCGATTGGAGTGCATATCGATCCATCGCATACCTAGCGGGCTCTATGGCTCTATTCCCAGGATGTCCTCATCAGAGCGGTTTTGATCCATTGGATCCGTTGGTTTTGTGCTTCAGGAACCATGTCGGGAGCCTATTGGAGTCACCCTTGTTCAATCACTGTAGACATGTGACTCTGTGATACGTGGTCCAGGCACTGCGGAATGGCATCAAGCGACTTGGATCGACTCATTAAAGTCTCAAGTCCGCAAATCTGAACGCACTAGAGTTGTGCTCCGAGAGATTCTCGTGCAACTATCTAAATAAAGGTGATGTTCATGCATATCGCCCGTCTAGGCGGACTCCTACATACCAGATATCTGCGCAACGCTGCCAAGACTGGTGGCGTCACTCAACGACATTGACTGTTGTTTTTCTTCCGAGTTGCGTCATGGAGCGACACTATTAATAATGATCATCTATGAAAGTGTGAGAGCAACTTGTCCATTTTCAGCAAGCATACATACAGAGATATTCAATTCATGGCCATCATCCATCATCACTGTTATCTAACCTATGTACACGTTGTCTAGCCGTCCCGTACGGAAAAGCATTTACCAACGGTCGACAGGGCGGTCGAAGCGCTCGTGGGGCGGGTAGCGACCTGGGTCGTACTCTGGGGCACCCTGTCGGCCGATGTAGTGCTCATCGTACATGCGTTCAGCATTTTCCTTAGCATGACGACGAGCGCGTATCTTATCCGCCTCATCAAGTCCCTTTGTTTCGATGAGTTTATCGACCTCAGCACCGACAAACCCTGCCAGGGCCTCCTTGGCGAAAGCGTGGCTTACAGGCTTGCCTAGCAGATTGAGATGCTATCAGTTCTTGCTAACATACTAAGTAGGGTCCGGTATACTTACCCTCCTGGCGCTGGTGGTCCTCCCAAGCCTTCATGCCGGCAAACGAGGCAGCTCCAGCAATGAGCTCGTGAGACAGGCTGCTCTCGTGTCTGCGCTCGCCGTACACCTCACGGTGAGCCTCGTCGGATTGCTCTGGATCATGTCATCAGTCTTCGAACACGACGAGCAAAGACAGAATGGAGGGCAAAAAGAGAACGGGACCCTTTTACACATCCTAGCAGGAGGGCTTCCCAGAGTCACATTCAAGGTTGGCTGAAAAGGAACGACTTACCCCAGCCCCAGGCCATTCTGAATTGATCTGGTGAAATCAAGAAAGCGTTTAGGAATCTAAAGGCAGTTGAAATGAGTTGTGATAGTTGTGCGATGGGATAGCTCAGGATCACAGCCGGGGAGGCAGTCTGCTCAACTTATATCCCTGCATATGGCGGGGTTATTAGCTACCTCAGGACTCAACTGGCCTCATTGCCCCTCACGCGCCATCGTCTCAGCTTCTATTTTCATAACTCCACTACCTAAGCCTTACGAGGTTGTAGAGGAGATCTGATGGATCATCCTGCACTCCCTATTCGTGAGAGTGGTGTAAAGGATATGGTAGCGGTATGGCAGCACCTCTCTACGCAGTATTTAGCAGTACTCCAGAGAACCCATCCTCGCTGCTACCGTCCCACGATGTTCCGGATTACGTGAATAATCGTCGCAAGCGCCACAGCGTCTGTCCAATTTTGGAGTCTTGCCAGCTGCGGCGTGCGACTCGGAGTTGGAGGCGTCTCCATACTTCAGCTAGTGAAGCAATTGCTCCACGAGGACGATGGAGCAGTTTCAGCTGGATGAATTGCCTCAGATTTAGGCAGTAGCATTTACTGTTTGTAACTGTATTATTACGAGCGACACGGCCTCGGATCTGAACTCGGAGGGAGAATCACCATCCCATCCTCTCTCTCCCATGGCACCAATCCCCGACTACAGTAGCTCAGAATCCATTCGACGAGCGTCAGAACATTGCAGCCTTGAGTATATCCATACGAGTCGATATTATTTCCATTACTTTTCAGCGGGGTAATGAGTTCTAACTATGAAAGCAATACTGAGCCGGAGTCATCAATTCAACCGTGGATCGACCGATACATGGGTCTCTCGCTCAGCCGTACTTTAGATGAGCCATAATATCCACTCTACTACTGTATTTAGCACTTCAGTATCGAATGATTCGACTGATCGACTCCGCTAGTGATTTGCTAGCATCATTTTGCCGAATCGCCGAGGAATTGGTGAGACCGCCAAGCTCTCTTGTCAAGGCTTGTCTGTCGCCCTGTGGTTACTCGGTTTGGTGACGAGCCCACCCACACCGCTTCCCGCTGTGGGTGAGCCACATCATAATCACGAATTTTCGATATTTGAAGCTATTCTCAACGCATTGGCTGACTATCTAAGGGGAAAAAAACTCACTATTCTCATCTGCTGCCTCTGCTGATCCATTTGATACAAGATTCTCTTGTGTAGGTGCTGGTGGCGGGGTTTATCATGCACTTTCTCCCACTGGCTTTGTAAATGCCTCTCTGGCGTAGCAGCATCTTTGGCCTTCCTTGGAAGCAATTGATCAATTTGCATCTCGTACCCTTCGTATACCATCCTTAACATGTCGCTTAGTGTGTTGGCGCCTTAGGGGGCTTGCGCGGCCCTAATTTGACTGATTGCTTCATTCACTTTAGCCAGATACTCAGCAGCAAGTTGACTATGTTTGACTATCCGGTCAAGACTCCGTTGTAGCTCGGGTGTAAGAAGATCTGTGTGCTTAGATAGCTTTGCCTGATTCTTCTTAAGGGCCTGAATCGTCCGTGGAGGTGAGATATCAACACTAGATGAAGATGGTGGCGGAGAGGGTGTAGAAGGAGTAGTATTGCAGAGATCAGGCGCGTAGATATCTGGAATTTGTTCCCATGCCTGGATACGCTTTGACTCCTTCATCTTTTGCTTTACTGGCCATAATCTGAGGTCTTCTGGGAGTCGTTTCTCAAAGCGATATACCCACATCTTGCTAACCTGTTGAGGTATGCCAGCGCGTTGAAGTAACTGGTTTGCATAGTCTTCCAGCAGCTTAGGCGTCACTGGCAAGTAATGATCCCGCATCCAGATCATCCACTGTATTATGGCTTCCTCCTGATGCCCCTCAAGTGCTTTATTAACTGGTTTCCGAGCTGTACGAGGCTGCCTGCCCTTTTTGACGCGGTCACGTAGTGTTGAAATCGGAACGCCATATTCACGCGCAATCTTGGAGATATTTGGTTTTTCTTGGGCCTGAGCAGCTTCGCAGGCCCTAAGGAGGTCAGATTCATTATATTTAGAGGATTTCGGCATATTGTGTGGCTGGAATAGCTTCAAGAGCTCAAAATATCGAAAATTCGTGATTACGATGGGGCTCACCCACAGCGGGAAGCGGTGTGGGTGGGCTAGAGGTAGTCACGGATACGGCCGTTGGTCGTACAGCCGTACGAACGCGTGCTTACGGACCGTTGCCTACTTTGCTATGCCCCACAAAGTCCATGTGCAGTCCGTTGAAATAACTCCATCAGAAGAGATGTATGCGTCCCGTCACTAGCAAGAGGGTGGAGTGCATCTCTTGATTCTGACTCTTCGTACGAAATGCCACTACGGAGTATTTACTGGGTGCTCTCCACCTAATACCTCCATAATAGGACTGACCGTCAATAGTCCACTAGGAGAAGCTTCGTTGCATCATGCATCTGCACTCCAAGTGGCGGTGTAGCACCATCAGGTCCTAAGCAGCGTGGCTGAAACTGGATGGACTCAATGGAGCCAACTCGATGAAAGTGAGACACGAGCTAGATATGTTGTAGTGTCTACGGCCCAAGTAGGATGAAGCGGTGTCCTCCTCATCGTCCAACCATCCAACGTTGTCCTTGGCTCTGTAGAGGTGCTACTGTGATACTTTGTAGTTGTTACTAAAGTACCCAAGCCAAGGAACAGTATCGTCTCAGGAAATGACTCGAGCCTGAAAGGTCAGGTCTTTTGACCCTCTTTCGTGCATATCTTTCTCTCGATTTTCCAGCTTGTCTCACGATAGTGGCCGCTGGATCAAGATGAGGTGCAAGACTGAGGGTACTCCGTACAGGGTTCTCTTATCGGAGCTTGCATCTGAAGCTTCAGCTTGAATCTCTTGACGAAGAACTGAAAATTGATTCCAGAAATTTCAGGCAGATATAGCGTTCGTGATGGCCTGATTCATAAGGCAGCAACTGAGGTTGAGCTTAGGACGTTCTCCATCACCGGCGTCATATCTGAATCTTGCTCCTCTCGACAACTGCTGCTTACTGCATGAACCACAGACAATGGGACTCTTAATCTGAAGTGCAAGGAAATCTCTACCATGCTATTAATCATCTTAACATCCAATTGAGGACATAGCTCAACTCCCACCCACCTGCCCCCACACCGATAAAGCTCACTCACAGCTACCTATCACTGAAACAACACCTCACCAACAAACCATTACATACCTACCTATTTCCTCAAGCACAACCGAAACATGACATCCAAAAAACCCCCTCGCCAACCGACTTCCCCTCCCACCTCACAGTAACCATCACCCCTCCCAAAGCCCACCCGCGCAACCCACCCCGCACCACCAAACATCCTCCTCCTCCTACACGGCCTCGGCGACACAGCCGCAGCATTCACCTCCTTCGCGCAGTCCCTCAACCTCCCCGAAACAACCATTGTGACGATCCAAGCGCCCAACCCCCTCCCCTTCGACCTGGGCGGTTTCCACTGGGGCGACGACGTCTCCTTCGACTCGGCGACAGGCACGCTAGACATGGACGCCGGGTTTAAGCGCGCGACGACTCTGCTGGTCGACGAGGTCATCCGCGGCGTGCTGGTGCGGAAATGCGGGTATCGGCCGCGGGAGATTCTGGTCCTGGGGTTCGGGCAAGGCGGGATGGCTGCGTTGGTCGCTGCGAGGGAGATGAACGAGCATAAAGCGCAGGGTGCGGGTGCGAGTGCTGGTGGCGGTGGTGGTGCGGAGGATACATCTCTGTCCGGGGTGATTTCTATTGGGGCGCCGTATCCCTTATCTGGGAGTACGGTGGGGGCGAAGAGTCGGACGCCCGTGCTGCTGGTGGGTGGGCGGGAGCCGACGGCTGTGAGCGATGGGGCTATACGGCGGACGAAGCAGGTCTTTGAGTTTGTGGAGGTGCATCAGTACGCGCGCAAAGGGGATGGGATGCCGCGGAACCGGGAGGAGATGATGCCGGTCATGCAGTTCTTTGCGCGAAGGTTGCGCAGTTGGCAGGGTGTACCTGAGGGGAGTGTGGAGATTACATGAATGATAGAAAACAGTAGAAATGGTATTGTACAGTACGTTGATCTAGAGATTGGCGTCTAATAAGGTGCGTTAATCTAGCTCTTCAAGAGCTTTCCTGGCTTGGTCAATGCTTTGACGGGCTGTGTTGGCTGGCGAGTCTTCTTCAACACGTTTTCCTCCCTCCTGCGCAATTGTACGCAGATGCTGCTCTGTCTCTCGCAGAGCCGTTCGGCCATCCTCCCGGACTTCTTCCTCCCAGAAGTTTCTGGCGGCATCCCACTTCTTTTGCTGTCGCCGCAGAGAGTAGATCAATCCCACTGCGGCCATTGTGCCTGTCTCGTAGATGGATGCAGTGGGGAGCGAGACGTACGTCAATGCGGACAGCGCGGTCGTCAGCGTCGTAGTCGATAAGCTGAAGAGCACGAGTCGTTGTGCCAAAGCCTGCAACGACGGCACGGTTGTGTCTAGAAGCTTTGCCCGGCTGTTGGTAATCTGCATCGGCCAGGGCTCCGCTGATTCCGTTGGCTTTGTCGGAGTCTCAGTACTATTCGAGTCGTCTCTCGCAGGCTCAGCGGGCACATCTTCGGTTACAATCTGCGGTGCCTCAAGCACGCCAGCCTGCTCGAATTTGCCCGCAGTCCAAATCACCTCCTTCTCCGCTCGGCAGAGATACTTCTTTTCCAGAATCTCAGACGTGATCATGCCAATGTCGTCCACTCGCCAGAACAACTTCCACCATGCGAGGCCTTTCCACGGCTTGCTGGCGAATCCTTCCTCTAGCGAACTCTGTAGCTCGGTGTGAGCCCTTTCCGCCCATGACGATACAAGTCGGACCAGTTGCTCGCGGACCTGGTCAGGGACAGACTCGATCTCTTGCTCCAGAATCCTCCTGTTTTCCTCCGTAAGCACACTCGTCTCCGCGGAATCGATCAGTGCCTCAATCAGAGTCTTCAGGGAGGGATCCAACACTCCTGCTCCTGTCCGCAAGGATGACAGCCAATCCACAACCGGCTGCACACCACTCTGATGCCACCCCCGCTCGTACAGCGACGCGTTCTGCACGGATTCGCGAAATTTAGCCAAGGCGACATCAGCTTTGTCGAGGTCCACAAAGCTTATGCGATCGCTAGCTGATTCCGTGGCAGCGCCAGGGAGCGCGATAGCGCCGTAGACCAACCGCGCTTGTTTCTTCAGGTCCGATCGAGCAACCAAGCCGCTGTATGCGAGTAGCCCATCTACGCCCCTGCCACACACGATACTCCTGTGGACTGGGTACCGCACTGCATTGTGCCGGCCGGACTGCGAGATGGGTATCGTCACCGTAGGCACGAGGAATGTATCCGCGGAAAGTTGGGCGGGTGAGAAGTCCGTCTCCGCGCCGAGCGTAGAGACCAGAATTTCAATATTGCCTCTCTTCAAGATCGACGAGGGCACCGAGATCGTAGGTAGGAGGTCATTAGGGATCGTCTCGGATACTTCTCCGTATCTGTCAAGCTGTTAGCGTCTCACTTCCACGAGGCAGCGAGGGCAGCGAGGCTTAATACCGGATCAGCAAGCCCCGCGACATATCCGCATCCTCAGAATCTAATATATCCTCCCAGGGTTCACGAGGACCCAAGGGATCAGCAAGCAGCAGACGAACGAGTCTGCGGGCAGCGGTCGCGTCATTTAAACCGAGGACTGTAGACGAAGCCATCGGTTAGCCACTGTTCCAATCTCTCTCAATACCTTCCACATATCAACAAGAACTAACCAGCTACCCGGATAAGCGGGACTTCCGACTCCAATCCACGCAACGCAAGCTGTAATCGGCTGATATTCACCTGTTCCGGCGCGGCATCCCTGACCCGATTCAAGGCTTCATACAGCTCCCTGAACCGTTCTGGCACGTTCCTCCGAGCGCTGACCAAAGACGGCGTCGCAAGTTGACGGCGGCACACATTCGCCGAGGGTATCGAAGGCGATGACGGGATGTGTTTCTGGTCTAGTCGCCGAGTGACATTGCCGCGGGGACGCGTTGTCAGGCTTCGTCTCCAGATTGAGCAGGATGGGCAGTAGAAGATCAATCCATTGTCCGAGGGCCACGATAGGCTCTTCGAAATCGAGCTGCGGAGTTTGGGAGGCATTGACTCGACGCGAATGGTTTGCTGGTGAGCATTTGGAGAGGGGAGAGTGAACCGAAGCAAGTCTTCCGTTCCGCAACACGGGAATTATGGAATTGTCTTGGCGGGATGGCAGTTGACCAACAGAGTAGAACAACATGCGTTCCACGAAACCCGTCCTTTTGTAGCCGGGGGTATTTTCGTGGCCTCTCATAATGAAAATTGCCGATACATATTTACAAATCGCTCTACGTCTACCAGAAATGTCATCCCAGTGAAAGAGTGGAAAGCATTGGTTGTATAGACAACCGTACAACCAAAGAACCAACAATAGCCGCTACCATATACATATAGCGCAAAGAAAACCATGGTGTATCAATTCATCAGCTCGTGTAGTCGAGGCGTCACGGACGCGTCGAGAATTCTGTGCAGAAATTACAGCTATGTCCCGGTCGCCAGAGCCGCAGTCATCGCTCGTCACATTCAACCAGAACGCATGACAGGTTGAATGCAAAGGGGAGCAATTTGTAACCTTGTTTCCCTGCGCCCTCGCTGGATTCTGGGTGTTCAAAACCTAGGGCCTTCGATACAAGCACCGGCAAGCATTGAGCCCCACCGGACGGATACTCTGCCGGCAATAAAAACACGACATGGACGTGACCTAACCAATTCAGGCTTCCCGAGTCTCCCGGGGGCATCCCTTTGCCGACGAGACCTGCCAGAGCCGGCCGACCTGTGCTTTATTAGGCGACGAATTTTCTTTGTCAGAAGAAGGGTTGACTTACATGCTAATCCTCCGGGCGACATTAGCCAAGCCGGTGTCATTCTCTGCCTCCTGTTGCGCACGCTCGAGGGCAGCCCGTCTTTCCTCTTCGCTTCTCTTGATGACCTCCTCGTGAGACGGTGGAAGACGCTCGTTCTGCAAGTCAACCTTGCGAGCATCCTCAAAGTTTGTAATGGCCTGTTTGATTCCTTCAGCGCCAAGCATCAGAGTACCGGCAGGGAGACGGCCACCAGCAGCCGTCTTGAGTTCAGTAACCCTCTCAGACTCCTCCCGCAACACTTGAAAGACACGCGAGAGACGTCCGATGGCAAGAATCTTGTTCTTGATCGCCCGCCTTTTGAATTCGGTGCTCTCCACGTCCATCGGGAGCGGAGGAGAAGGAGCGGAAGGCGACACGGATGTAGGAGTCTCGTCTTCGAGCTCCTCCTTGGAGCAGGTATTGAGGATGGCGATGAGCATATCGGTGATCTTCTCACCGACGAAAGGAAGCGACCACGTAAACACGTCCATGAAGTTTGGCAACCAGTATGGGTGAGGCGTGCAGTTGAACTGTCGGATATTCATGACGTTGTTCTCGTACTTCAGAACGGCAGCCTTGTTGTTGTAGACGTCCAAGTAGTTGGGAGCACTGAAGATAGTCATCACACTTGGGAATCCGGTCGTGCGAGTCTTTCGGTACATGCGATATCCAGCGTCCTGCGCCTCATGTGCTCGAATGATCGACAACAGGTTGTTCTTTTCAAGGAAAGCGCAAGCCGCGGGGTACGAGAAGAAGTAAGAGCAGCCTCGAACACTGTTGTGAACAAAGTAATCTCCTGTCTTTTCTTGTCCGAACTCTTCCAGCGGATCAGCCCAGAGGATATCGCACATCAAACCGTGAGTCGGGGCTCTCTGAAACGATCGATCTGTAGACTCCACATTAGAGAAAGAACAAAAAGAAACATGTGAACAGCTTTGAACATACCGACTTGATATCTTCGAGAGTGTGAAGTTCAGGACTCAGACCACCATGTATACACAGGAATTGTTTGTTCATCACCGCCGCCAGCGGCAACGAGCAGAACGACTCAATGCAGGCCTCATAGATACGCTCGCTGTATTTATGCTTGCATTCCAGCTTGAAGGTGAAGTAATCCGTGAGATGTCTGCATTCATGGTTGCCTCGGAGCAGCCAAAGGGTATTTGGGTACCAGATCTTCAGGGCCCAGAGATATAAAACGCACTAGCCGATATCAGCTTCACCGACCTTCAAGTTTCCCAAGTAGTCATCTCTCACCTCAATGCTGAAATAACCTCTGTCAACGTAATCACCCAGGAAAAGATACCTCGTCTCGGACGGATCGCCACCGACTTCGAAAAGTTTCATCAAGTCATAGTATTGACCGTGAACGTCGCCACAGACTGTGATCGGCGCATCCATCTCTAGCAGATTAGGTTCAGATCTCAATATCTGAGTTCCGGCATGTATAATCCATAGCGCCTGTTCCTCCGTAAGACGACCTTCCCGATAGAAATGTTGTTTGAGGAACTGGAGGTTGGGCTTCGAAGGGTCTTCAGGAGACCAAAACATCTCATCCGTTGGAGTACTTAAAGCCGGCGCTTGCACCTCTGAAACCGCAAAATTGTTAGAGACAGCGACTGTTTAAATCGAGACGCAGCAAAGTCTCAATATTAGGCCATACCTTTAATCACTCGTTCCATCGTGGAAACCTGAGTGCCATCCTCCATGGTGTGTAGCGTGAAGTCGATCTCCGGGACCGGCCTCTTGTCCCTCACCGCGCGCGCCAGTGCTTGATCCATCTTGGGCAGTGTAAACTAAGAAATAATACGACTTGAAAGAAGCAAGTCTGCGGAAGATTTTCGGTGCGCAAGTGGACGGATCAAGGGGAAGGGGCAAGCTGGTTGCGCGGAGGCAAGCTTGTGGTGGGGTTAAAGCACAGCGGGATTTTACACACGAGACGAAGGCCGGATCGGGGAACTGCCTTGACGTCGGTGATCAAAGAGATCAATCGTCCGGTGGATGATGGATTTTTTCAGTAAAGGAAGAAGGGGCAAAGGGCTGAAAAGAAAAGTGTCGATATTGACCAGAAATTGTGGATATGAAACCTTAGGACTCTAAGGATACAGCCAAGTGTATTGCCTTTTCCTAAAATAGTGTAAGCTGAGGTGACCGTGGGTCGCGTGGCGGAAAAGAGATAAACTTGATAAATGGAGAAGACTAGATATATATGAACGGAAAAGCAATTCAGTAATTGCTCGTCAGCAATGCAAGATTATTGTGATGGGCTGAGAGAACCAGGCAAAAGATGGAGGGCAGGTCTTTTCTAAGGTCTTTGACCAGGCTGAGGAGGCTCTAGTATGGTCTGGGTCAGGGATTGCCAATACAAGATAGATTATCGACCTACCCGGACTCGTCTGACGAAGTGAAGCTGGATTTCGCTTGGATTTACGGGTTCTAATTGATCTTAAATGGTTGCCATTGGCGGGTGCTGCGATCAGATACGTAAGTTTATATGTCTCATTCATCCATCATCGGCCTCGCTTGCATCAACGCAAGGAGACGAAGATTCCTTGAGGCAAATACTACGTACTGGAATCGTCCCTGAAGTGCGGGGATATCCGTCCGTCGGTTCATCCTCTTGCCTTTCCCCACGCCCACATTATTCTGGCCCTCTAGACTCCAACCCGTCTTCGTCTCCGTCTCGTTCCCCTTCTAGAGAACTGGATTACAACAGCCATGTATGAATCATTCCGTATGTGTCAATGATCCTTTTGCGAATTAGCCATTAGTAGTGCTGATGATCCTCCTGCACAGGTCCTCATCCGCTCCTCGCCCAAGTCCCCTTGACAGTCTCCCCGTTCATCAATCTCCCTACGTCGGTCACTCTTCCCTACACCTACAAATCTGTTCCATCAACTCTGCCTCCATCTGTTACCGTTGATCCCAGTAATCCGGACATCAAAGCCCGTTATGTGGTCTCTCCAAGCGGCGAGCATGCGGCTCGCCCAGAAGAGATCCTGGCTTCTTGCAAGTCGCTGGAGGAACATCTGAACAGGACGCGAATCGAGGCCGAGAACGCGATCAAGAAATGGGAGGAGGCGATATCGCAACGAGAGCTTGCGGAAAAGAGGCGTGTTGCCCCGGGTTGGCTGGATCGAGATGAGAAATTGCTTCAGCCTATCAGTTCGGCGCCAGCTCAGTCGTCAAAGAATCAGTCAAACCATAGCTTACTGGACAGCTCATCCGGCAATCAGAGTTCCTCCGGTTTTCCAGCCATGGTACCTCGTGATGAGGGCGAAGAGTTGGATCGCGCTTTTGGAGGGTTGGATGTGAAATAGGCAGCGGTGCTATGCCAGACATGGCATCAGAACCTGAATTCCTGCGCTGCTCCTAGCACAGACACATCTGTTCGACAGAGCGCATTTCAGACTTCCCAGTGCGGACAAAGTCTTTTACCAAGAGTGCACCTTGTCCCCCCGAAGCGCCTCATCGACTGCTGGAACTAGACTGACTGGCTGACACGAAATATGGACTGTTAAATCCGGCTGCTTCGGCTGCGTTACAACATTCCAAACCAGCAGATTGATGTTGAAGCAGGCTTGAAGGTCCACAAACCCCGATTAGCCTGACTCGAGCAGCAAATCTCTCTCACTACCCCCGATCGACCCTATGGTCTCGGTTGAGTGAGCTGCACTTGACTAGGTGATTATGCTGTGCACGCTTCAAAACGCGCATGTATGTTAAATTAGGTCCCAATGAGCCGGATGTACATTTGGATGCGCACCTGGCGCTTCCCGACTTACTCAATTATATACAATCTCTTGGATGTGATACACCCCTCACATGGTATTCCTAAAAGATAAAGGTTCAATCTATCATGACTCCTCAGACTCGTCGTATGCCATATTTTATCCTTATCTTTCTTGTAGAAGCTCAAGTGCGACGCCTGACGTATCTGGGAAGAGCTCACCGTCCGCGGTGGCCCTAGCTCCCGCCCGCCCCCTCCAGATAACAATCACCGACCAACTTTATCTTCTGATAAATTTCGTTCAACCACGCAGCAAGTGTATACACCTGCAAGTCTTTCTACACCTTACCAAATTGAAATGGAGCCTCTTCGATCAGCCCCCGAGGCGTCCTCATTCGTTCTCCTAGCCGACCACCAATCGCGCACGCCCGTGTCGTTCCACTCCGGCCCTCCAGTCCTCCACTACCACAGCAAGCAGTGCAAGCTGGTCATCCTCGAACGCGACCTCCTCTCCACACCAGCCCTCAATGCGATCCGCGGCTCGACCTCAACAGCAAACGGATCTAGCAACCATACTTCCACCGCTATCGCGAGCGACAATGCCGCCGCCGACGGAGAAGAAGGACAAGAGAACGAGCTCGTCGTAGACGGCGTAGATGTCTGGGTGACATCGGAGTGAGTCTGCCATCATCCAGTCCATTAAAAGCTCTCATACTGACTCAATCAACAGTAAATTCCTCCTCTACGCCCCGCCGTTGCCGCCGGCGTCTCAATCCCCTACCCCTCCATCTCCCTCCACGCCATCCAGCGCCTGCGCCTCCCCGGCAGCCCCGCCGAAGTCCAAGGCCTATACATGCAGATCGCGACCCCGCCGCCCCAGGGACCAACACCGAAGACGACGAGGAGGAAAGCATCACGCTGACCATCGTCCCGCCAACGGGGGCGGAGTACGCCGGCGGCGCGGCTACCGCTCCCGGCGAGGATGCGATGGACGACCAAGCCGAGAAGCCGGAGGAGACGCCGGTGCAGATGATGTATGCGGCTGTATCGGCGTGTTCGAATCTCCATCCCGATCCGATGGAGGAGGACGACGAGGAAGGAGACGGTGAGGGGGATTCGCTCATGCAGTCTGGTTTCGTGACGATGGGGAGCGCGGATGGGGGCCTGCCGCCGCCTATGGATGGTAGTTCGGGATGGATCACGGCGGAGAATATGCACGAGTATTTTGATGAGGAGGGGAATTGGATTGGTGGGGGTGAGGAGCCGTCGCTGCCTCTTGGGCCTGGGGCAGGAACTGTGAGGCAGCGCGAGGGTGAGGGCGCGGAGGGTGATGGGCAGGGCGAGGATGAGGAGGCGAAGTGGAGGAGGACAGATTAGGGTGTTGCTATTGTGTGAGATGGATTGTTTGAGAGAATGCAAGGCTAACTCTCTTGCAATATATGTCTGGGGTTGGCAAAAGTATTCGTGGTTCTACTGGTGCTATTTTGACTATGGGAAATATCTAACGAGGAAGATGACGAAAAGACACTATGCTACACGATTGGATCAATTCAAGCTGCACCTATCTGTCTAACACGCGGATATTATGCAGTCCGCAGGGATGCCTAGAAGCTATCAAGCAAGGAAAAAAAAACCCAAGAACCCGCCGAATGAATGGCCCTGTAAACTCCGTAAGCTGCTAACCAAGCAAAGCAGATCCGACTATTCTTTCAAGAAACCGTCTCCATCGTATAAACTCCCAGGAGTTGCAGCGCCAATTCCTAATCCTATTGTCTTCCCAGTAGGCGTCATGATGCCTTTTTTGGGTGCTTTTTGACTTGACTTGTGTGGCGTCCTGTCATCCGTCGTTGTTTGCTGACAGCCTTCTGGAACGAATTTCTTTAGGCATGATCCAGAATCATTGGATTGGGTTGGCGGAGCTATACGCTGAGCTTTTCGTTCTGTATCGTTATCTTCCCAGATGGTGACCATATTGCCGTTGCAGGTGCTCGGCGTTCTGTGCACGTCGCATGAGAGATCCTCTTGGCCTTGCTGCTCCAGAGACGTGCTGTCTAGAACGGCAGCGCTGCTTTCGTCATGTGGCAAGGGATCCGTGGCAGTAGCAACATCTTTGCTACTACCGCAAGGCCTCAAAGATAGAGGGCGATTACTTGAGGAGGGTTGTTGTATTGACAGAGTGTCGTTCTCCTCGAGTGGAACCGCAGAGCGAGGACTATTGTTGTACACCATCTTAATTGGCAGTGTGCGTGGCCCCTTGACTGCCGAACGACGCGGACTGGTTTGCGGTGATGCATTCTCGCGGGATGTCGGCGAGCTCGCATGGATGGGAAGCAGCCAGAGGGGAGCATTCTTCTCGGGAGACGGTGTCTGTGAAAGAGAACCATCGTTGCTAGACGGTAGAGATGTCATGATTTCTGGTAGAGTCTTGTCGCTCCCCGCAGGGCTCAGGAAATCGTCACCTGAGTCAGCTCTGCTATGCTTTCTTTTCTTCGTTGGGCTTCCGTCAGGAGTAGAGAAGACATCCGTGACCCGTGGCCGGGGTCTTTGGAAGTCGTACGAGTTATTTCTGTTCGCGGAGAAGGTGACAACACTCGAATTCATCGAGGGAATACCGTAGCTGGTCGGACGCGGAGCTTGAGCTTCTGGTCTGCGCACGCTCAGGTCTTCCAACTCCTCGGGCTCCTCAGCCATTGGCGAGAACGCAGGACGCCCAAAGGTGATGGGAGGGTGGATCGAAATTCGGACGCAGTTCTGACGTCTGTGGCCTTTTCGGTGACCCTGGGTATTCTTCATGGCGGAGGTCAATGGTGGCTTAGGGGCATTTTCCGAGCGGACCTGTGTAGATATTTCTGGCACATAGAGACTGCTAACCCTCCTTGCGGGTGCTCGAGGGGGGTGAATTGAGACATGTGAGCTCGCCTGTCCGCCGTAGAAAGGATCTCCATCCGTACGCCTACTTGCGTACATGGAGTGCCGGTGCAACTGACTGAAGTAAGGCAGTAGCGAGCCGCTGTAGCCTGTTGCACTCAGATGCGGGGCCATGTTCGGATCCAGGTGCGGCATGGAGGTGACCTCCCTTCTGGACTGGTTGGAGCAAAGAGATTCACTCCTCCTAGGAGGAGGGCTGACGCGCTCTGTTTGGCTAGGACTACGTGCAGTTAAACTGCGGCGGGGCGACGTACGGTTTGGTTCCAACCTCAGAGAGTCACCAGCAGGCGATGTGGCAGGAAAGATGAATGGTGCAGGATATGCCGAGTTTGACGCTGCGAAACTTCGCCGCTCGAATTCCATGCGGCCGACATCATTGGCGCTGAAGGGTGTGAAAGTTGGGCAGGGTGGCAACGCTGGTGAAGTGAAATCACTCTCGATAGCAGTTGACGTCCTCCGACTGTCGTCCAAGATGGAGCTGTCCGCCGTCTCCAGACTCAGCGATGAGAACCGCATTGAATCATTCTTTGAAAGGCGGAATCGGTTTGGGGGATAAGCCGACGGCGGAGGCGGCACCGGCTGTTCTGGAATGGCACCGGCTGTCTGTGTCGTAATGCTTCCGCCTCGTACTCGAGTAAAAGGCAGTTCGAACCCTTCATGATGGTCTTCCATAACTGGGAAGAGGTTGCCCGAACGCTCTCTCCTATGCACCGAAGGCATCACCGCTGACAGTGGCCGGATCGATGGTTCGGCGAGACTTCGTTCTTCTTCCTTTTCCGGCGTTTGTCTGGGTGTCATCTCTGTCGGTAATTCTAGGGCACCTTCGACTGCCGAGACAGCTACAGGGTCTCTGGCTCTGTACCTGGGCCCTTTGTCACAGGGTCTCTCGGCTGCCTCTGCAAGTGGAGCAAGGGGACCTGGAGGCCGCGATTTGAGCAGACCTTTCAGCTGCCGGGTTGATTTTGATCGTGAAAGCGAACGGCCCAGCGAACGAGCCTTTTCAGCGAGTTGAGAAGAAGTTTCTGAGTCCACTGTGGAGTAAGTGAGGCTTTCCCGGCTAGCTAAAACGCCCCATTCAGTTGGCTTTCCGTATGGCAGTTGTCCGTATAGTCTCAGCGCAGAACCCTCTTCCCGAGACAGTGATGTCGCAGTGTCGGCTTCGAAGGCTCGTAACTGCCTAGCGTACCGGCCCTGACGGTCGCAGACTGCTTTTCGTGAACGACGCTCCCGACGGGCTTTTATCCAGACAAGTGTTCCCACCACCGCGGAAACGATGAAAAGAGCGGCGCACACAGCAGCCACCGCGATCACGGTGGCCAGCGCCGGCATCGTCAGTCGCGTCCGCCCCTTCCGTCAAGTGAGCAGACACTGATGCTGATCAAAGCTCAAGGCTGTCTGGACCTTTTCATCGCTTGTTTCAGTGACAGAAGCTGCTTAGATCGGTCTGGACCTGATGTCCTTGATTGAGTGGTGAAGCAGACCAACACCCCTGTGGGCGACAAATCCAGGAGGCAAAAGAAACAGATTCAGTACAGGAGGGAAATTGTGGCACACAGGGGGATTGTGCGTTTGTTAAGGGGAAATCAAGTTGAAGCAGAGGAATGTGTGGCCGCATAACGGCCGACGCGCGGAATGCTCGTCATTGTACAGGCTGACCTTCAACTTGTAGTCAGTGCATACGATAAGCACTTCATCTGTATTGGCTTGAGCAGTAAGAATCCAGATCATATCACGGTTAAATCTAACCACCTGTGTCATGTTCTAGTGGTCCTCCAGAGAGAAGAAGTGAGGTTGTGCTGGTTGTCAGGCAAAGTGTCCTGTCCATTATGCAGGGCACAATAAGGCCAACACGGACATTCTGAAGCCAGCATAACTCTTCGAGGTGATTGGATGACATGATCTTGTTAGGAATGATCATCTGTATGTTCCCATACTGTAGCCGCGTGTCGTCTCTCGACTGCGACAGTATGGCCAATGGAAAAAACTCGTTGTCTGGGAAAAAAGTATGAGCACTCGCAACACTGGTCAACTCGACAGTTATTTCAGTTCTGGTTATAGCCTGTCTACTATGAAACTGAAGATTCAGCAGGCCAAACATTCCATCCGGCGCGTCGTCGTTGCTTTGACTCTTATCAGTATCGGGGGCTCATACGTATCACGTGATTAGCGGCTGTCCTGAATCGGGGAACCCGACCTCCGATCAAGAAGTGCCGCAATCACGGGGAAAAGACCCACAGCATCTCCGTCTCCCCCTCAATCCTTCTGACCCTCTTGTATCTTCATTCTGACCTGTTCAGGAAACCAGCAGACAGGCATTCACTGCTGTGGCTGTGGAGTCCCTGATATCAGATCATGGAGCCTCCTTTTACTCCTGAATTGAAAGACTGACATCACAGGTTGAGAGATTTCCCTGAGAAAGCAATCCGGCGGATTATGTTCAGCCACCCGCATTAACGCCATGTCGGGCTGGCTGCTCTGGGGCCACCTATCGTCATTTGGGTTCAGTCGATCCACAATGCCAGACACTGCGCTGCCCTGGACCTGAGCCCCCGCTGAGCTGCTGGATAACCCCGTTAGTAGCTCCAATTACCAGGGACGTATAGACGTGTCTGGAGGGATAGGGATGCAGCTCGTCGGGTCTGTAAGCTCCGTGTTTGGATGCTGGAAGGTCCAGCGACGTGATTAATAACTTTTTTTCAAAAGACTTATCGTCAAGACGGAAGAGCAGCAGTGTTATCCTTGCTGAACCCCACCATCCTGTTACACCACTTGCTGCTAGTTTCATAGCTTGATGCTATCTCCATAGCTTCTGCCCCTCCTATATAAAAGACGGCTGCTCCTTTCTATTTCCTTCTTCATTTGTCCTCCTTTTCAGTAACGCTCTTTTTCAATAGATTGTAATTTATTCCCTTTCTAGTCGCCATCTTTCACAATGGCTTCCAACCCTGTCAACGAGAGAGGTGTTTTTGTCCACGACAACACATCTGCCCCCGAACATCCGAGCTTGATGCAGATGTTCTCCCTCAAGGGCAAGACCGCCATTGTCACGGGTGCTGCTTCTGGCATTGGTCTCGCCGTGGCTCAGGGTCTGGCTGAGGCAGGTGCCAACGTTGCCTTGTGGTGGGGCACCAACGCTAAGTGTCCTGAGCGAGCGGCTGAGATTGCTGCCAAGTATGGTGTACAGAGTGAGTACTTCTCAAAGCTTGACTTTATTCCCGGTCAAATAGATGAGCCAAGGAGAATCTAACTTCCCACAGCCAAGGCTTACCAGGTCGATGTCACAAATGCCAAGGCTGTCCAAGAGGCTGTTGATCAGACTGTGAAGGACTTCAACGGCCGTCTGGACGTCTTCATTGCTAACGCGGGTATCCCCTGGACCAAGGGACCCATGGTGGATGGGCCTCTGGACCACTACTCTAGTGTGGTTGACATTGACTTGAACGGTACCTTTTACTGCGCCAAGTACGCCGCTGCTCACTGGAGGAGACAGAAGGAGGAGGGAACCGACATCTACGGCAACAAGCTTTCCAACTTCACATATGGTAGCTTTGTGGCCACCGCCTCCATGAGTGGCCACATTGTGAACTTCCCGCAGATGCAGGCCGCCTACAACGCTACCAAGTCCGCCGTGATTCACCTTTGTAAGTTTTTGGCAGGCTGGATTGATATTCATGAACGTTGCTAATACAGTCCAGGCAAATCTCTTGCCGTGGAGTGGGTCAAGTTCGCCCGTGCCAACACCGTCTCTCCCGGCTACATCGCCACAGAGATCTCAAACTTTGTGCCCCAGGAGACCAAGAACATCTGGAAGGACAAGATCCCCATGGGTCGCGAAGGTCGTGCTGAAGAGCTAAAGGGTGCCTATCTTTATCTGGCTTCGGATGCTGCCAGCTACACCACCGGTGCTGACCTCATTGTCGACGGTGGTTATTGCGCACCATAATTTGGGTCAGATGGGGTTTTAGCGTTTCCTTACTTTTGGTGGCATGTGATGGGATAGAGTATATACATATAGACGAATGAACATGCATATATTTGTTTCAAGCGTTTCAGGCTAGCTGAGGGTATTTGCATTGACATAAAAATGAGTCGCATGTTGTTCGGATGTAGCCTCATTTTGCTCCAGAATCATTGAACCCTCGTCTATGAACACTATTGACCTGAGTCACATGAAGCCTCGCAGATTTAGGCCTGCAAGGACCCAGGGCTACTAATAGCATATCATTGAATCAGACCAACGCCGCGTGGCACTCCCACTCCAATCCATCTAACTATCCGCACTGGCATTAAGCGCGGTAGGGTTCCCTCAACATACACCGCCGCGTACAGCTCATGAGTCTCGAACACAGTTTTATTCACGCATGACCTAGCGCAGCCTCAACGCATCTAACGGCCCGATCCATGAAACGATCTATCGACGCAGTCAACCCTCGCTCATTGTCGATGCGATGCTGGAGATCTCCTTCCCACGTCGCTATTGGCGGAGAGGGCGGCTCGATGATGTGTTCGTGCAGTATGGAGGTCTGCGGATCAAAGTATCTGGCTAGAGGGTCGTCGTCGCTGGTAGCTTCCAAACTCGAGTCTGGATGAGTTGAGCTCATCTCGATCGCTTCCTCGCTGCAGGATTTGGAGTCACATGGTCAGCAAAGTCTTGTGAGAGGGCTTGGGTTTAATCCTCACATCCTGGCGACGGTCTCTTGGTTGTTTACTTGGACGTAGGCCCATCGCTGGCACCAGTGCCTTGGATGGCATAGTGAGAGGGTACGTGATATGGTCTTCCAGTGTAGACAGACCACAAAAATGCATGAGAGTAACAGGCAGATGGCTGGAAAGAGATTCACGGATACTGGTTCGGACATGATTTCTGGCTTCTGGCAGAGAAAGAGGAGTTCTTCAGAGTGAGTGAAAAGCTATGCTTGATTTGCATTCAGGAACTATAGCTTCTGAGGATATTCACTCGGCAGTAGCTTTTTGCTGATCTACTCATGTAACACTTCGACTGCGTGTATTCTTGATACCTGTGTCTTTGAATCCAGATGAGAGCAGCTGAATCTCCACCGTTCAGCAGCCTGAAACATGATTCTCAAAACAATGGTAGTTATCTAGCCTGTCTCCACGGTGCTACAATTACAAGACACCACATCCTTGCTAAGGAGTCTTTCATAGCGGTTATATATAGACCAAGCAACATACACAACATCAGACAATCCTATCAGTTTGAAACAATCACAAATGATTTTAAACTCCCCGTAGAGATTGGAACTACCTATTTATTCATCTTCCTAACAAATATACGCTCACCTTCTAACCTTCTCGCTAGACCCTAGACATCAGAACACAAGCAACCAACAGCCGCTCACCAGATACTTACTGTCTTTCAGTAAGAGAACTACCTAACATCTTCCAGTTTCATTAGAAACATCTTTCATCATATTTACCCATGAAACATGACTGCAGCGCGTAATATCTACAGGACAACCATTCGTCTGTGGTCTAGGGCCACGGGCATGTGACAGCATCAACCCCATCGATCAACTGACTTGCCCAAGACAAGAAACCAAGAATGTATACCGCAGTCTAAACTCATGACTACAGCAACAAGCCTGATTCGAATGATTTAAATCAAGTGATGGAGTCACATTTCTTGCGCACAAAGATAACGACATCATCGTTGTTTCTTGTAATTATATAATGCAGCATCAGCTGCATCGCATGCAAAATGGACCCGATCCTAAATCAACCACTGAAAGAATAGATCCTCAAATCAATATACATATACAGTGAGTGAATACTACTCAAAATGCCAGCGCCAGACCCCGAAGAACAAGAAATGGCAAGTCCACGCATCCAACCCAATAGGGATTGCAAAACTAACATACGGCAGAACTCTTCCCTCGACGAAGCCCTCCACTGCACAACCTGCAAAATCACACAGCTCCCCCGTGCATCCCTACTCACAGCCCTCGCCACAGGCCTCTACAATCCCCGCCGCGACCCGCCCTTCCTGCATCCGCAAACAGCAGAGATAGACGGCGTCTCCCCGCGAACAATACCCCCAGAGCCGAAGGTACCAGGATACCGAAGACTGATGACGCCGGCGCAGCACGAGAGCTACAGTGCTGCGCTGGGAGAACTGGCGCAGCGAGAAGCGGGCAGAGGGGAAGAAGGCGAAGGCGAAGGCGAAGCCGGGTCGATGTTCGCGCGGTACATGCTTGATTTCCATATCCATGTGCATTATCTCTCGCGGCGGGGGCTGTTGACGCTGTGTCGGGATGTGGAGGAGGTTCATGAGATGCGGCGGTGGAGGTGGAGGGTTGCGTTGGTGGATGATGTGCTTGCGGGTGCGAAGTATCAGTATCCAGGCAAGGGATGTGGAAAGAAGAGAGGGGTGCGGCCACCGAATGAGAATCCGCATCTGTCCATGTATCAGATGGCGCTGTGGAGGCGGAAGTGGATGGTGCGGCGGCAGCAGGTGGACGAGGTGCGGCTCAAGTGGGCGGCGATTGTCGAGGAGAGGCGAAGGCAAAGGGCCGCTGCGGCCAGGACGATCAAAGTGAGGTTGCACTGGTCGCGGGAGGGATATAAGACATTCATCCGTGAGGTCGAGGTCGAGGGTGGTACGTTTGATCAGCGGGAGATAACTTGAATAAGACGAGATTTTGACCAACATGCTGTCATTGAAACGCTTTTAGGAAACATTGCCCCTACGTACAGAGCATTTGCAGTCGACGCTGGTAAAAAAAAGACAGAACGGGACAGAGGAATGAATGACACCAGCTGCATGCTGGGCCCAGAAGAGACTGGAAAGGAGACTGTCCAGGAATCACGGCTGAGAAACCAAAACAAACGCCGAATCTTGCGTACCTTATATAACCAAACAAGCTATGCGGATATCAATCGACCAATGAAAACCAGATATACGGAAAGAAAATGTCTCGAATCGTCAAAAGTGTCACAAGAAGTCAAAAAGGAAGGTATACTGCAAAGGAAAGATCAAAGAGAGACGAGACGCAAGTAGTGTTCTGACACTAGCCACGGTAGTGAAACCGCTTCCAGGCACACTCTGTGTGCCAAGCGCACCCTGGACAGTACCTGCTGTAGCACAAATTCTCGGACAAGGCACAATGGCTTCAGTCAGCCCGTTACACCTTCTCCTCCGTCCCCCCATCGCGACATCCTGAGATTCCTCACGGATCGGCTGCTTGATATCAACCGGGTACTGGTCCGGACGGGACTCAGGCGGTTGCATACCATCTGGATGCTTGCTGTCCCTCTCTGGGCGCTTCTTGCCCAGTCTCTGGCACCAATGCTCAGCACTAACAAGGGTATCATTGACCACGCCGCTGACCTGCGCCATCATGTCCAAACCCTCCTGCGCCAGCACCAGAATACGGTGAGCGCCGAGCGTCGCGTCTGAGTTGGACGCCGGTGAGTCGGGAGGAGGGTTGGACGTCGAGGCGACCTGGAACCGGTGCGGCAGGGAAGTCAGATGGCGACGGACCAGGTGGCGCGCGTTCTCCGGTAGAGCTCCGCCGGCATACTTGGAGACGACATCGACGACCTGTTTCAAGGTCGAGAGGACATCCTCCTTGACGGCCTGGATACGCTGCGACAGCAACGAGGAGTCGCCCTCGCCGTTCTCCCGCCTGGCGCTATCCCATTCCTTGACCGCGCTCTGCAGAGCGATGATGGCCTTGCCCAGCCGGCCGTTGGCCCACCGAAGCCAGGTGAGGCAGTATTGCAAACTGCGCAGGGACTCCTCGCTCATGGCGACGCCCAGGCCGGACGTGGAGATCATCAGCCGGCTCTGCCAGGTGGCGGGGCTCTGGCGAGACGACGGCCGGCCCACCTCCTCATAGTTCGGCGACTTGTTGTCGTCATATGGCGGAAGAGGCTCGGAGTGCGACAGGTCCGAGGAGCTGCGCGTGCGCTGGGAGTCCATGGTGCCGTTGTCACCTGCGAGCCCCTTCTCCACGTCCACCTCTTGCGGCTGCTGCTTCTCCCCACTGACTTTCCGTCTCTTCTTCGCTGGGTCCGTGGAGTTGGATTCGCGTCGCTGTAGCGCCCAACGGAGACCGCTCTCCACACCGGTCTTGCGACCTACAGTTCCGACGGTGCTGGCAACGGGGGAGCCAATGTTGCGCTCAATAAACTCGGCGCCAGACTTGAAACGCGGCGAGTATGATTTGGACGAGGTATATGCGGACATAGACCCGTTGATCGCCGAGGAGATCAGCGGATGGGTAGAGGTAAGCAGGGACAGGAGGGGTTCAGGCTGGGGCTTGGAGTCGGACGGGGCATTGGAAGGATTGGTCTGCGTTGAAGTTCGAGGGGATGAATGTCCGTAATCTATGCAGCAATCAATCATCTTGTCAGCCTGCCATTGACAGCCAAGGGGCAAGGAGATATTACCCGCACGGAGCCCCTCAAGCGCCTGAGCTGCCTCTATATCATCCATGGAGAGAACACTGGTGGCCCGACGAGAGCGCTCGTCGGCCACGGAATGGTTATCGACATCCATCATGGAGGATGGAACATGCTGAAACGAGGAGAAAGCGGTAGCAGAAGCGGAGAAGGGAGAGGAGGCGGATGAAGAGGAGTGGGAGGAGGGCGTCTGCGATGTGGTGGTGGTAGTGGTAGTGGTAGCGGCGTCTCGGCCAGACGATACGAGACGGGCTTCCATGAGAATAGCGCTGTTTGCTGGTGTTATTTTTATGATTCCAATGGAGACTGGGGTATCCTGGATCAGAATTAGTTCCTAGATAGCCCTACTTGGATCCTCCGGAGTCGGTCCTCCGTATCAAGTTTGCAGCCAGCACAGTCACTCCAACTATGTATGTAGTGGACTGAACAAGCGGTGCCGTTCGTCCTGGATAGGAATGTGATTGACGATCACAGACACTCCTAATAGTTAAAATGAGAGATAAGAATGGCTAGCACAAGCATGAGTGGGAAATGAGGATGCAGTCGTGGGCGGTGATGGCGTCGAGTGATTGATCAGAAATCAGAATCGAAGTCTGCTGCTTTCACGTGAAAGGGAAAAGAGAGTTGGCCCAACGGAGCATGTCCGGTCAAGATTGGGATTCAAGAGGAGGAAACTGGACCCGAATTTACTCTCTTGTCAATTATTACTAGTACTCTAACTCCTAAATCATCCTAATACTGGACAATAATTGCTTCAGCTGCTCAGCATCACCATCTAGTAAAGGTAGTAGTGACAAGCCCATGTCATCCGAAATAGGCTGAATGTGACGGGGAACATCCCCTCTCCACAATCTTCACTTCCTGCATGGTTCAGGATCGTCATCGACCCCCCAAAACGGATTCCTCGACGACCGTCTCGCTGTGATTGATGGATCATTGCAAGTCCATTGGCGCACCCATCACATGCTGGTATTTTTCGGTATTAGGACTACCGATGATTGAGCCTTGCCCCTTGTCTCGACTTCTGTACCCCAGCACTTTTGCTTCTGATCCTCAACGATTCCCGTTTCTGGAAACTGCCATGACATGTGATCGTGCTGTAATGCCGCCTGACCGCCTTCTTAGTAATCCTGGCACGTGTTCGTATTTCTCAAGGCGACAAGGCATCGAGGCATCAAGGCATCAAATGGGTTGGAATACCTACCAGAGTTCTGGAAAGAATCCAAAGTTGTGTACACATATCCTAGAGACTAGACAAAAATACGTAAATGTAGTCGATCACTCCACAGACAGCCCGTCCTCCTCGGCGTCCTCATATGCACCAGGCATGTGCATCCCATACAGCATCGCTTCTACAGCATCTTCCCCTTCATATTCGTCTCCATCATCGGGCTCATCAACGGCATCCTTCGCCGTAAGCTGGCTGATCGCCTTGTGATTAACCCGGTAGCAAGCCAGAATTTCATTGGTGACCGACCTGGACGGCAAGTTGCTCGCCTTGATGTGGCAGAGGGTCTCCCCAAAGGCATGGATTGTGAAACTGGCATGGCTATGCTTCCGGTACGTGTACGAGGCCAACAGCCGAAGCCATTCATCCTTGCTATGTCGCCACATATGGATCATCGGATGATCTCCAAGGGACGGCGGAGGGATCTTCCGCGCTTCCTCTGCCGCCTCGCGCGCAAGGGGCGAGAAGGAGTTCTCTCCCGAAATAGAGCCGATCCATTGGCTGTAGAGTCTTTCGACCTCCCGCTGGGCATACTTGAGCGCGGCGCGGAGCTGCCCGTGCTCGCTTTCCCCTTGCTCCTCGATCCCTGCTTCCCGCTGGGCCTCGTTCCACGGGCGGACGAGATCTTCATCCCGATCGTACACGCTGTCATCCTCCGGAAAAGCTCGCTGCAGGTCTTCCAGCACTGCATGTCGCTCCTTACGGGCTACCTCAAATTTGAGGTAGTCTATGATGTTGGTTTTCTTGGGTTTGCGTCCCGCGTTCTTATACGCAGGGAGCTCTCTAGCCTTGGGGCTAATCTTCTTCCGGTATTGCTGCCAGGCCTGCTCTGACAGGTGCAGCCCTCCTTTGCGGCCGTCGACCAGATGGCTGAGCAGACATGCCAGCTCCTTGGCTTTAGCTGAGTCGATCGACTCGTCGTATGCAATCTTCTCATGCTCGACGGTGCATCGGCCTAGATTCGAGGTCGTCAGGTTAAAGGTAAAGGCACTTTGAAGAAACTCGTCCGTCGACTGTATGTCCCTCATGGGCACTGAATGTTTTGAGAGTCCAAAATGCTCCGGCGGGAACTCCTTTGCAGGCAGGTCGGAATTCTGAAAGCGCTGCACAATGTTCTGGTCCCAGCATATCCACGGTGTATCTCCATCGTAGTCGCCACCAGACAGCATATGTGCCAGTGGAATGTCACCCGTAGTGGGAAAGACGATGACATCCTTGAAGTGCCGAAGCTCCGGTTTCCACACGGCTCGTCGACGCTGGATATCGGAGGGTACGTGAGCAGGCAGACGACCGACCAGAACGTCCATGCCGTCAAGGAGGTTGTCCTCGAATTGCCCCCGGGCATCGCGCCAGTTGTTCGAAAACCCAAAATGCACCTCGTCCTCTTTCAGAACCCCGTACGGGTCTGCAATGCAGAAGGCATAAGTGGAAAGTGGGACTTCGATATGTAACTCATCCACATAGCGGTCAAGCAAGTCTCTCAGACATCGTCCCAGCCGCTTGCGTAGGGGTAGAAACTCCGTGGAGCGAACCCAGCTTCGGTAAGCCTGATGATGGCTTCCGCATCCGTAGCAGTCCACTGCTCCAGGCGTTTCATCCTCTAGCTCATACCCGTTGAGCCATCGTCGGCCATAGGCTTGATCTTCTAGATAAGGCTACGGCATAACACAGCGCTGTTAGACTCCAGCACGCTGGCAAAGTCTTGAGAAATCGCCCTAATGCCAGCTCGGGTGAGCTCAGCAATGTACTCTCTGACCTGTCCACCATGCTCGAGAATGGCAAGCAACTGGGTGTTCAGTTCCACCGGGTACAAGGGTTTGGACCACTTGACCACCTCAAATGTGAGTTTCTCATCATCAACCGGTTCCCGCCAAGCCTGCGGATGAGGCTGGATCTTCAACTGGGAATCTGATATCTGAATCCAGAAATCATCACCCCCTACAAAAACGTCAGAGTTGTGGCGGTCCACCATCCATAGCCCTTTAGCACCCGCAATCCTTCCCTGGAAAACGCTAGGGGTGTTTCCAGTAATTCCTAACTGATCGCAGATTGCATTAGCTAAACGTCTAGACATGAGAGCGCAACCATCGTTCATGACTGGACGGTTTGGTACATCTTTGAGATGCAAGATCTGCCATGGTTTCAAGACAATCGTAGCATAAGTTTTGGACAGTCCTAGCGAGATCCGCTGAAACAGCTTGCAGTTGGACTGATTTACATTGGCCTCCGGGGGCATGTGCCAGTCCATCAGCGCTTCCAGACTCATCGGTGTATGACTATCGCTGTCTTGGCCCTGAGGAGCAATGGATGGCACCGTGCCCGGGCTGTGTACAAAATCGACACCATCGATCGCAAAGAACTCCACTCTGAACCTTGGCTCTGTCTTCTTGAGTTTGCACTTTGTCTTGATCTCTTCCACATAGAAGGGCCGCCATGTCCGTCCTAGGCAGCGATGGACATGCTGGGTGAGCCACAGCGCTAAACTCTCGCGCAAAAGTGTTGGATGCGGGTTGAAGCGTAGATGGCGCAGTGGCCGCGCCGGCGCAGGCATTGTCAAGCTGAGAAATCGATCGGATCCAAAGCGTCGGCGGAACCGGCAGGTTCGCTCCATCTTGAGGGGATTCAATCTGAATCTGAGGATGCCTGGTTCCGATTCACTGCACCAGTCCAAGTCGCCCGTAAGAATGACGACCTCCGAGTGCTTATCCGTCTTGAATGAACCAGTAGCTGCTTCCCATGCTTTGCTGGTCGACTTTTCTGGAAGTGGCTTCCCACATCGCTGATTATGGCCTTCAATCCACTTCCAGAACTCGCCATATGACTTAAAAGTCATGCTGCTCCCAACTAGCATGCGGTCCAAAGGGACACCCCATGCTCTACCAACCCGTTCCAGCTCGTACCGATAGCGCAGAGGAATCGACTTTGGAAATGGTTGCTCTAGTGAGAACGGCCCACTGTGCAGAAGCTGTTCCATGATTCGTCCCTCAGTTGAATGAGGGGCTTCTTCAGGAGGAATTTCAGTCATCGTGCCTGTATCATCCATGGTCACGTCCATATCGTGGCTGATCAGATGCCCCACAACTGAATCTTCATACATAGAATCAGAATCGACCATGGGCTCAGTGGCGTCGGTAACCGTCGAGGTGAAGGAAGTATCGAGCTGGCGCCGAGATTCACGGCCAAATGACGTGGCGACACTGGAGAAAGTAATGTTCAGTCCTGCATGCGCACTAGGCGCCGTGTCGTAACGCCGAACATTGTCTGGAGCGGTAAGCTTCTCCAGAAATCGGGATGGTTCTTTGCCTCTATCCACTGCCACAGGGGTCTTAAAGACATGGACGGACTCGTTGACCATTAGCGAGGAGGCGGTGACCCCATTCTCCCCGCTAATAGCTAGGGACTCAAGCTCATTCCCATTTGCTGGGGCGTGATTTTGAACGTTGGGATTCTTCACAGGTGAGTTGGGCGCGGTGTGATACTCTTCGTCATCCTCCTCTTCTTCATATATCCTTCTCTTAAGCGGCCTGAACACCGTGCTGGGTGAGATTTGCATACGATTGTCGTCTGCATAGACGCGGACCGAGCCCCTGCTCAGCAAGTATATCTCGTCATCCACGACCTTCAACAGATACGCAAGCCGCTCGTCCTTCTCATGCGTAGAAATGACGCTGGGATCCGCGACCATCAATTGGTCCCTCCTTGACAAGGCTGAACGACTTTGCGATATGCGCCCCACGCCACTGCGCGTATCCAAATGCGACGTCGAGCGAGAATGGACCCATTCCTCAAAGTCGTTCAAGATCCGTCCAAGGTCAACCTCGCGGTTGAAGTAGAGCCGTTTGAGGCCTTTATACGTGCGCCATCGAGGAGTCTGCTCATTGCGGCCAACTGACGGTGAATAGATCCGAGGATTGGGAATTTCAAGATAGAATTGTTCGTTGAGAATTTCGATCAATTGATATAGCTCTTGCCCGCTCTTGACAGGAGTGCGGGGGATGGCCATGTCTTTTTCCGATAGAAGGTAGCTACAGCTAAGGAATCCATCCAAGCTGATATGGAGTCGTCAATGTATAGGATTCGACGTGTCCTTGACTGTGGTTCTATCGACAGGCAGTTGTCAATCGATTGCAGGCTTACAGAGTGGTAAGAAAGCGAATTTTCGTCCCATACTCTGTATTCGAATGGACGAAACAAATGGCTGTAGGGTCCCGGTGGAATTGAGCATCGTCAAGAGAACAAGAAGCGATAGTCAGTGTCCATCAACCGAGATTGCTGACTCTAGAGGCAGAGCGTGCAGAAAGTACGCGGTTAGCTTGATCAATTTTCCAGTCGAATTGTGGGGGTGAGGGGGAAATAGATCGACTGATACATAAGTACTACTCAAGTAGCTTATACTCTCTTTGTCTTGACAGCGGTACGAAGTACCTTAGAAACTTTAAGAAGCTTACCTATTATTATCATCACTCAATTATCTGACAGTCTGTCCCTTGCTCCATGCAGAAGAATAAAGAGAGTTGACGGTGTCCATCAATTCCATGATCCGCACGAGCAACAAGCACCTCTGTCCATTCCCAGCAAATCATGTTCTCGAATATTGGCGCCTTCTGCTGCGGATGTAAGAAATACGTGGTCAGTTTTACTTTTTCTTATCTTCAGGAGGGTACTCTTCGGGTGGGTGTCCTTTTCATGGACTATGATGTTGTTCCGAGCCCTCCAAGAACCTCGTGGTCGTCATGCATCCGTTGCCGTTGCTGGGTAAACAAAAACGTGGAGCACATTGTTTCCGCCAAGCCAGATCACTCTGGCAGAGTCACGAACTATCGAGGGGGAGAGAGACCGGGGGAGACCAGACAGTCATCATCACGTATAGTCAAAGAAAAAAGGTCGTTTAATAATGTTCTAAGGATACCGAAAGTAACATAGGGTGCACATGGTCCTGGGCAAAAACGACCTCACAACAACCATGCTGCAACGAAACGATTCCACAACCAGTGGTTTTGCTCTGCCAACGCCCTGTTTTCCCGTTCTGAAGGCTTTGGCTTTGTATCATGTCGCTCACGAATCGTTGTAACGGTCCAGAGATCAGCCTCAGCGGGGTTGACGCTCTTGCATCGGGTCACGACCTTGTATCCAATGACAAGGGACAGATAGAGAGGAACAGCGATATACGACGTAATCAAAGTCATATAGTCGAATGCTTCTGGATGAGTGGCTAGCTCTGCGACATCCAAGCCTCTCATCAATGAAAGGAGAATGCAGCTGATCAGAGCGACCCATGACCCGCAAGCGCCGAAGGGAGCTCTAAAGACCAGTGCCGAGTTAGGAACTTTTTGGGCCTTGCGCGCGCGCACAAATGAAATATGCGTGATCAGAATTGAGATCCAAGTGAGAAGGCTGAACATGGTGATTATGTTAACAAAGTACCCGAAAAGAACCTTGGAGTCGTTGTAAATGCTTAGATACGCCAATGATGCTAGAATTGCGCATGTGCCCAACGAATAAACAGGAACACCCCTACGGTCAGTTCTTGACAAGAAGGAGGGGGCTTTTTGTTCCTGAGATAGCCCACGGATGATCTGGGTCGCCATATGAAGGGCTTGGTTAGCAGCTGATAGAACAAACAGCAGAGAACACGCATTGAGAATGCTTGGAAGGGTCGGTATATGGGCCATTCTAATGGCCACAACAAAGACCGAGACTGTTGTCGGCTTGGAGGCGTTGCTCGCAAAGGCCAAGTCTTGGGAGTCGTATGGAATGAGCATACCGAGCAGAGTTACGCTGACAATGTTGAAAATTAAGATTCGATAGAATGTGAGCTTGATGGCGCGCGATGCAGCCTTTGGTGTGTTCCCGCTTTGCAGCATAGTCATCCCAAGAAGCTCACTACCCAAATACGCGAATATAGTGGAGGGCATAGTCTTGCTGATGGCTCGTAGCTTTCCTACAAGTTCATGATTGCCGTAGCAAGCAAAGGCGCCCGGATCTCTCCAGTATCTGAAACCCCTTCTATCATGATCCGGCCCGCCCCAAGCGCAATGACCACCGAGAGCACCGTAAGCGCAGACAAGACCAGGATTTTGAAAGATGACAGTGCGAACTCGTATGGTCCAATGAAGCGAGCGGCCCAGTAGTTGACAGAGCCAATGACTACGAGAAATGCCGTAATCCAGATCCCAGGGTTTACGTTCTTTGCATCGAGCCAATATGATATCACGAGCGCCGCCGCAGTCAATTGGTTGGGAGTAACAACCAAGTATTTGAGCCAGTAGCTGTTCGAAAGATTTTATCAGCATCCCAGTTCAACATAGACTGATCATGAGGGGAACCCGTACCTCCAACCCAATGTAAAGCCAACAGCAGGGTCACAGAACCGCACGGCATGATCCACAGCCGTCGATGGCTCAGGAAACCAAGCAGCAACCTCTCCTAGCGCACAGAGGGTCAAGTAGACAACTATACCCACAGTCGTGTAAGAGATCACAATCGCGGCAGGCTTGGCCGGTCAGCATTCGCGAAACTATGTCATCTCGCCTAGACGAATACTAACCCCGGCCCTTAGACAGTGTTAGCTGCAGCTCATAGGCGATCTATGTTGGCTGTGCCTTACTTTGAAAGTGCATTTCCCGCTCCAATCATCAATCCGGTGTTGATAGCTCCGCCGATCGCTAGAGGTCAGTGAGCAATGGCTTCGAAGGCTTCTGGACTGCATGAGAAAGACAAACCTATCATCGTAGTTTGGCGTGGTACCAGGACTCCGAAGACTCGTATCCTTGCGGAGCCAGACTCACTTGGTGCTGCTTCATGGAGACTTCGGATTCGGTTGCAGATCGAGTGTTGTGCATTAGCCTGAGACATGTCTGGCTGGCATCCTTCATTTGGCCCCGTCTGATCTCAATGGAAAGTAGAGAATAGCGACAGACATACTGATAGCGCATTTGCAAAACAGAGAGTGTTAAGCGAGTTCTCAAGTGTTGAAGGCGAACAGAGATGAAATGGAAAGGGAAAGGACGATGGACACTGCATTTTCCAGTGCCGATGCCTCGCGGATGAATTTGAACAGCCAGCCTTGAGATGAGGATTGCATAGAGCTGGGGATTTTACAGTCAATGCATTATGGATCGCTTCAAAATAAAATTTCAGAAGTTTTCTTTCTTCGGTAAGGGCATCGGACTGAAAGAATCTAGGAGTTTGCTGAAGGATTGAAGATGGTTGATCTTAGAAAAAAACACAGTTCTATGATTTGTTGGACCCGGTCATAAAGTAGAGGTGGTGGTATCAATGATTGTTTCCCGACTTTCCCCTATAGCCAGCCGTCTAGAATAGAAAGGGGACAAAAGGATAATAAAGACATCAATACAAGTCAAACGCCAGCACAGTCTAAAAACCGAGGGGTGAATCACATAAGAGGAGAAACAATGAGGCGAGTCTCAGGACCAGAGCAAAGCCAGTCTGCCCCGGACGACGCAAAATCGTAAATACATGAAACGTGGCGCGGCTCACAGGGCACGTCTAGCGTCGCCTTCTGTCGCCGCTGATACTTGTTTCGACATGGAAAGGACCGCTTATCTGCTCATGTATAGCGAATCGCTTGACTCAGCCCTGGGGAAGATCCGAGTGTACAGCGAGTCACTAGACTCCGTCCGTGGGAATTCCCGCTGCTGAGCTCTCGAGATGGTACGGTCTGTGTAGATACCCTTCGCGGTGCCTCTAACAACCGACTCGAGATACTCACGGAAGTCGGTTGGTCTGAAATCGGGATAGAGCTCCTTCGCGTCCAGATAGCCCAGATACTTCGCGTATTCCGGGTTGTTGTCGCCGCGAATACCCCAGGACAATTGGTATTCGGCGAGGTATCGAGGAATGAACTTCACTGGGTCAAAGGGATAGGTCTCGCTAGACTGGCGGGCCGCAAGAACTCGAGTGTAGACGGTCTCTTCCGAAACCTGTCGAAAACGACCTGTTAGATCGAAATTCTGTGCAAGATGGCCAACAACACCTACATAGTTTCTTTGAATCTTCTCCTCGCCTATCTCTTCGAGCAAATCGTAAATCTGGTTCTGGGTCACAACTGTGTTGTACGCGAAAACCATCCGGTTCAATGTCCGATCATCCACGATAATTCTGGCAATGTAGCGTCCGATATCTCTCAGATCTGTCAAGGCAGTGCGGGTGTTGCCATCCCCCACAATCTCGTTGTTTGCCGTGGTCATAGCATAGTCTACTCGTCCGGACTCGAGTCTAGGGTACGAAAGCTGGTACCACCAACCAACATCGACAATGGTGTACGGAAGCCAGAGTTGTTTGATGTGATTGTAAACAGTCTCTTTCTGGAGAGCAGAACCACACGTCAATACCTCTTCGAATATATAAAAAGAAAAAAGACAGTAAGGAGGGTTGAGCTTACCTCATCTCTCAACCACATGATGCCGCCGGGCGGAGCCACTGTGATAAATCCGCATGGGACAAACCGCTTGACGCCGGCCTTCTTCGCAGCCTTTGCAAGAGGAATCTGGTCTTGTTGTTCGGCGGGGCCGACACAGCTGATGACAATATCGATATCTGTAAGTGCTTCGGCGAGTGACTCCTCTGAGCCTCTCAGATCGCATTTGCGCACTTGGATACCTCGTTCTTGAAGGGAAACAATGGCAGGTTTTTGGACCGATCGGGGACGAACAAGCGCATAGACTTCCTGTAAGCGATATTGCAGTCAGAATACGTTGCTATCATTTTCCGCGAAGAATTCAACAAGCGGGGGGCTCACAAATATTGGGTTCTCAAGGAGTCCATTTGCGATTGAGCCGCCAGTCTCACCGGCTGCTCCAACCAGCAAGACTCTCGTGCGCGACATGATTGGAAAATTTGTAGTGATTTGAAATTTCGTGCCAACGGAGTGTTTCGGAAGATTTACGGTAAAGCAAGTGGACAGTGGAAGGGTTCAAAGCACGTAAACAGAAGGAAATGAAGATAAAGAGTTTCCAACAGTGGCAGATCGAGGATCAGTCGACGTTATAAAATGGCAGCGTCCCATCCAAGGATGACTATACCCACAATTTCCAACCCAGAGTGGCCAGTAGTGGGTCGAAGGTGGATATTCAATTCCCAAAAAGAGGAGCGCTGTATGGACATGCGTTGGCTAAGGGGGTTTCAGTGATTCAGCCCGCTGCAATGAGGAGAACCGATCAACCACGTCTCTTCAGGTAAGATTTCCCATGAATTTGAATTCTATTGTTGTATTCAAGGAACGTATGACTACAGATTCTAATCCTTTGACGATACTCGGAAGGCCGGATCTTTTAAGGCGTTTTAACCTCTCACTCCCACGGGCCGTTGGCTCGGGACTGGAACCCAAATGGACCCTACGTCATTCTCACCACGGCTTCCCGCACATTGGCAGAGTATCTATCTCAAAGACCATCATCATTGAGACACTTCACTTCCGTTGACAGTTTGATGGAGTCGCCGTTTGCTGTTTGGAATTATCTCTACCGTTAGCCTGTCTGCTCGGTATCTAGGTCTAGACATCATCTGATGGCATGACCATGATGCATTTGCCAGCTCTTTACTGTGCAATAACCGGGCAAGACTCGTTTTGCCTACTGAATATGCACACCAGGGTAATTGGACATGACTGTTGCAGATATTAATGCGGGGAGAAACCCATTCAACCCCTCCTTTTCTGCAATAATGTCGCAAGCCCTCTGCGACTTGTTCTTGTCGGTGGTGTTTTATGTGGTAATCGCTCCCTAATTTTTTGGTTCATGACTAACCCCCACGTCACAGATCTTCGGATCTGCATGGCGCTTTTTCAGCAGTAGCCAAGAACATTGCCCTTACAACCTTGGCTTGGTGACGACATATGACAATGTTACCTTGGTAGTACATCATTGGTTCATCATCAACCTGCAATAAATGGCCCTTGACGCTCAGTTGCCATGGTTAGCATGAATCGGTGCCTTTCGAGGCAGATACAGCCCAAAAATGGTCGGAGGCAAGGGGCACGGAGAAAGTTACGTTCCGAGCACCCAAAACGAGGGCCAACGGATTAGGCTCCTCCGTACCTTGAGATAATCAGTTCCAGTCAATGAGAACGTTCAGATCATCCTGATCACCGCGGTTCAGCGGATTTCCCCGCACTATTTGAAGGTCCAAAGTCTGATATGACTTGAAGTCTTGAGCAGATCGCTTTTTGCCTGATTCAAATGAAACATCATTTTCCAATATTCGGACAGTTTCAGCCACAGAAGCCAGGACCCCATTGCGTCAAGCGGAGGGTCAGGGGCTTGAAACAAGCTGGGTCCTGGCAGTGGAGGTAGCAGTGGCAGTGGTACGTAGATATTCAGCGCGGGGTAGTTGACCTCTCTTCGCTACCTAGAAAAAACTGCGTGAAAGGACAAGTGCAATGACCAGCGCAATAAATTATCGGCCTACCATGAATCCGCGATAGTCTATCCCGCGATGACTCGGTGCACACTGAGTAGATCTGAAGTTAATGGGACCACCTGCACAGTAGCAGTAGAAAGTGATATCCTAGGGATGATCCCCGAAAATTCAGTGCGGGCTTCATGTGCAAATGGAAGGCTGACTATCAAGCTCATTGAGGACTCGGTGCCCTCGGAGGAGAAGCGCAATTGGCTGGCGACTGAATAAAATCTAGATAAAATACCGTGGGCTAACTGTTGCTCAAGCTTTCCAAGCGAACGGCGCGACACCCGCGGTTGCCATTGTTATTTGTGAGTCTTTTGGGCATCAAGGAGATGATGCCATGGAGAAGTGGGGATAATACTGAATAAAGGAGAGAAGACTTTATGTGAGCTTTCCCTGCAGGCACAAATGTAGTCTACGCCCGCCAATAAAGGCTCTGCACAAAGCGTCCTGTTCCTTACAAGAGTGCAAGCGACTACCTTTTACTTTCTTTCTAGTTTCTACTAGCAATTCCAAGTTTCTACCAGTATTCTACCTAAGGTGTCGAGCATCGAGCAAATCTGCACCATTGGTCTCGATCAGACTAGATCTGGATGATTGTTTAAAGACGGCAAACCAAATTGAGCCTAACATAGTAGCTCGGATGATGTGTATTCAGGCAAATGGGTATTCGACACCCCTCTTACTTATAATCCATAGACAGGAGCTGACGAGTAATTTCCCGCCATCCTCGGTCAGAAATTAGTCGTCTTCGTAGCAGAATTTGCGTCAAAAGTGCAGGGTTTCGTCGCGGGTGATGCTGTCCTGGCCGACAACCCAGGACTATGCGGACAATGCTTCTTGTAGCACCCATGGACGAACTCTCTCGTGAGGACTTTGTCGTCCTCGATGTGATGGATGGTAGATAGCGGTTTCGCTGAATACGCAGCATACCTTCTCAAGAGAGTCATTCGCCTCGACGATCTCTCTGGCAGCCTGCGCGGCGCTCAGGGTGGATAGGGTTGCTTCCCAGGTGGCATCGCGAGTGCCGATGTTTGGTGCTGGCCCAAGAGGGACAGGGCTTGTTCGAGCTCATCCGCTGCGTCAAAATGGCAATGTCATATTTTTGTTGCCGTCGCACCGGTAGTCAAGATGCAACTGCCGGGTCTCTCGATGTTGCCGATAAAACTAGCGACCTTTCCCGGGATGAGGTCGCTGCATTTCGCCATGTTGGGCAAGCTGCACAATGACAACCCGTGCGCATCGACTTCGTGGTTGAGGCGACTCAAAATTTTTCAAGTATCGGAGCGCTTGATACCTTGTCCGATAAAGAGATAGGCTGGTAGTTTACGGCGTCAGCGACAGCAACGTTCGTATCGCTTTGCTGTCCAAGAAGATCTTCAATGATGAAATGAAGGTCCTAGGATCATTAGCGATATGAACGAGTCGCCTGCTGCTATTGACTATCTTAGTCTGTAGTGGAAATCTGCCTCCTTTATCCGAATCATGAAGCTAGCTATATGTAAGGAAACGGCAAGGTTGGTGTGAGTGTGTTAGTGGCATTGTGAAGGAGACTCCAGGGGAGTTGCGACAAGCCTCGAGGCAAAAGGTACCCATGGCATTCGACTAGGTATTTCTGGCTTACAAGATGATGTTTGATGTAAAGATGGATGGAAGGAGAAAACTTATTTTGCCATTGTTTTGCTCCACTACCTAGACGCTGTAGATGTTGCCGACTACAGAATATGAGCATCATCTGACCAAAATTCAGTGGTGCTGAAATGAAATATAAATCTTCAAGCAAATGGAGATGAGCTACTAGACTACGCCTTATAAACCACATCTCGGCAGCTCACTCAGTAAGTGCAAAATACCTCTTGTGATTAAGAGACGCTGTACTCCGTACAGAGTATTGTATCTGTGGACATAATAACAGTGAGAGGGAGAATGTGATAGATCAGCCACTGTGCGCTTCTCCGCATAATTAAGTTGGCTTGATTCTTTGACCGGAAGACCATGCCACCTCTGGTCCGTCCACGCTCTGAAATTTTCTCGTTTAAACTTCGGGCATTTGCTACGTATCTATCAAGGATCAATCAACACGCATGGCGGGAGTTGCCGACCTCTTGGCACATTATCTGTTCAATCACAGACGGTACTAACTACCGCTTTAGGCTTCCCGACGTCGGAAGAGTTCCATCTTGGTCAAAGAAAGTGTTAGCAACGACTAATCGAGTCCCCGACTGTGAATGAGTCAGGAGTCAGGAATGCTCTCTTGATCATATTGCTCGTGCGCTTCTCTTAGTCCCAGTGACCAGGACGACGAGTCGAGTCGTCCAATGGAGCAGTCTCCGGGCTTTTGAATGTGGCTCACTTACAGCGGATGGCTTGACACTATCCCCTTCCTGCTGCTTTTAGGCTGCTCTTGGCTGTCCATGTGGAGAGGCATAGCCAGATTGCCCTTTGGAGGTAAAGTATGTATCTTTTTCCTCAGGCCCTAACATGCTCCCAGTTGAGGGTTCGGTTTGTTCCTTCGCCTTTCCCTGCCCAGCTGCCAAGCGTATCATTACCAAATATAATTATTTTAGCCTCGTTTCCTCAAGCACAAATGTGTCCGGAGAGTTTTAGTCTACCTTAGTACTGTTCTTTTATTATTCGCACTGTTATCCTCGTCGCCTCTAGTTTTCCCTTCTGTGCTCAACCCTCTCCATATCGTGCCTGGCGAGGATTCCTGACAAGATCCTTTGTTTCACGTCCTTGGTTGTGACTGCATCCATGGACGAGAAATCAGCAGTCTCCGAGACCGGTAATGGCTCGAACGTAGACTCCCTGTCTACTGCCAGTGCGTATGAACAACACCGAGAGCGGCTCAGGGACGCGAATCCACAGGGAGTGACCTCTCATCGGCCAGGTGTCAACGTCAAGGAAGCAGAAGAAGAGTTCTCAGAGCTCAACAGGCAATTCTCTACCATCTCAAATCAGGCTCATCGTTTGTCCAAGCAGATTTCACGAGCTTCCAAGCCAACAGTGAAGACGGAAGATGTTGAAAGGTCCGACAGTCCAGCTGACTCGGACGAGCCGTGGGATCTTGAAACCGCTCTGCGTGGTAACCGGGACGCGGAAACAGTAGCTGGAATCAGGAACAAACGCATAGGTAATTCCATGAGCGCTCTGTGGCTCCAGAAGGTCTTTACTCGTACTGACAGCTCGTAGGAGTCATATGGGATAACCTCACCGTTCGCGGAATGGGAGGCGTCAAGACGTATATCAAAACATTCCCGGATGCGATTATTGACTTTTTCAATGTCCCGGAGACGATAATGCACATGCTCGGTTATGGCAAGAAGGGGGAAGAGTTCGAAATCTTGAAGAATTTTCGTGGAGTGCTACAACCCGGGGAGATGGTCCTTGTTCTGGGGCGTCCAGGATCAGGCTGCACCACATTCCTGAAAACGATCACAAACCAGCGTTTTGGCTATACTAGCATAGATGGCGATGTCCTCTACGGTATTTTCGACGCCGACACCTTTGCAAAGAGGTTTCGCGGCGAGGCTGTCTACAATCAAGAGGATGACGTTCATCAGCCTACACTCACAGTCAAACAGACCTTGGGATTTGCGCTAGACACGAAGACCCCGGGAAAGAGACCTCTGGGAGTTTCGAAGGCCGAGTTCAAAGAGAAAGTCATCAATATGCTGCTCAAGATGTTCAACATCGAACACACCGCCAATACCGTGATTGGAAACCAGTTCATCCGGGGCGTTTCAGGTGGAGAGAGACGTCGAGTGAGTATTGCAGAGATGATGGTCACATCGGCAACGGTTCTGGCTTGGGATAATAGTACTCGTG